ATTAATTAAAATATGTTGATGACAGCTATAAAAATCCAAGTTGATTTGAATCTTTTAAAAGTTGACTTACCATCTACATGTATTTTTATTTGTTATCTGAGGACATCAAATGTAATTTGGTTCCTTATCATAATGTGTAGGATTGAAATAGTGCAGTTAATAACTTTTTTCTTTTTTAACATTTTCAGGATTATGCAAGGAATGTGCCACTTTATTAAGAAAAGATGTTTGTAATGAGCAAGTGAATTTTGAGAATGAATTGGGTAAGTTAAAGATTATATGGTAATGTATTACAGATACAATTAAACTTGTATAATCTGACACACATACCTTGAGTTCAGAAAAAAACATGTTTGTTTGATATCACAGATTGAAAGACAATAGAAGCATAATTGTAGCCACAAATTGTGTTAGATAATACATTGTGGAATAATCAGGTGTCAAAATAGACAATTTCTATTGAAATCAAAGAACAACACATCAAATCCTGATAAAATTCCTTTAATAAATGCCAAACAAATTTATATGCCACTGCTATAAACTCACTCACTTTTGTATTTTAAATGAAGTCAAATTTGGCAAAAAAAAAGGGGCTGAGTAAGTAATGCGGTAGGTTGTCATGCTTGGGTACATAGAAAATAAAGATTAAAATTTGTATACAATACACAGAAGTTAGATTTAGTGGCTATGACTGGGTTTCACATTCATTAGTTATATTCACTTATATTGTTGGACAAATTACATCTCTAAGTTCATTTGGTAACCTCAATACATGTACATGTACAATACAATTATAATCCCCTTGCCAACACATATACTTATAGGTCCCTCAAGTAAGGTAAAGCTATAATGCCTAATTCTACTTTAAAGGACCCACAACCTTTATGCATTTTAATAAACAAACCTCATCTAAGATTACATATTGATCACAATATAGGAAAATTAACATTCTTCTTTTAAATCAAAATTAATAATCTGTCATTATTCCTTTTTTACAGAAGCATTTTATGAAGCAAAAAGGTTATTTGGTAGACCCAACAGCAGAATAGAACAAGAGCATAACCAAGGTAATTTTTTAATGTGTTAATTATATCAACAGGTTAAGTTTGAGCTCAAATGTACTATTGCCATTACATTACCATCAAAAACCACTGAATTGTAGCATGATATATAGAAACAAGTTGATACTGAATTTTGAAGCTCACATGGACACATTTGTGTGGCCCCGCATAACATTAATTATGACATAAATTGTTAATGATAATTCATCTGAACTGATTTTAGTAGAAATGGTCTCTGAAATCCTGTTATGTAAATTTAAAAACATAACTTTTATAGGTGACTATGGGATATGGGCTTTGTTCATTGTTAAAGGCAGTATAGTGACCTATAGTTGTTCATTTCTGTGTCATTTGGTCTCTTGTGGAGAATTATCTCATTGGCAACCATTTGTTATCTTTATTTGAATGATGTAAATGTACACATCTATTTTTACAAAAGTGTGTTGCTTTAAACATTATACATTACTGGTATAATATATTTTTTCAGATGTTAACAGCAAAGATGATCAAGACATGGAACTTACTTACAGTCAGCCCAGTGTGACAGGTAAAAACATACCCTGTATTGTATTTACTATAATATGTACTAAGAGGGGGAGGTAACTCTTTTGATATTATTGTAGCTGCCTTTGAAAGGAGGGGGTGTACTGTTTTACCCCTGCCTGTCTGTCAGTCTGTCCCCTGAAATTTTTGTTAAACTGTTCTCAGAAACTACATTTCAGGGGCTTGCAGAAATAAAGAGTCATATATGAGGAAGCTATACCACATGATATGTTTCAAATGCATCACTCAACAACATCTTCATTACCGAACACTTATGTATTCTTACATTAAAAAGCCAAAAAGACAATTTTCATCGCATTTTCTTCAGGAATTACACATGAAGGCTATCAGAAAATTAGAATCAAGGTTCATGAGACAAATTGTCCTGTACATGTGCCATGATGTAACCTTTAACTTTGATCTCAAAGTAAAACATGTTAGTCTTTACACCTACCGGTAGGCATGTGCATGTATTTGAGATGGTGGGTAGTGTTTTTCTTGTGACCTTTGACCTCAGATATCAAATGACTTGATTTATTTTTACATTCTTTTCTTGAAACATAGCTTTATTACTTTTTGACATATGCTTTTAATATATTGGAGCATGAATGCAGCATGGTCAGACAATGACTTTCGACCTTCAAGGTCAAAAACTAATTTACATGTAGAAAATATAGTTGTTTTAGGTTCTAACAAGATAACGTCATATATTTAATGTGGCAACTACACAGCTTCATGAAAGTCTCTGATTTATTTTTTTAATCACTTCCACTTTTTAATTCACCTGGCCCAAAAGGGCCAAGTGAGCTTTACTTATTACTTGGCATCCGTCGTCTGTTAGCTTTTACAAAAATTCTTCTTCTCTGAAACTACTGGGCCAAATAAAACCAAACTTGGTTTAAATCATTCTTCGGGTATCTAGTTTAGAAAATGTATCAGATGACCCCGCCCATCAACCAAGATGGCTGCTATGGCTAAAAATAGAACATGGGGGTAAAATCAGTTTTGGGCTTATATCTCTGAAACTAAAGCATTGAGAGCAAATCTAACATAGATAAAAATGTTTGTTGGGTCAAGATCTATATGTCGTTATATTATCACATCCATCAGACAACCAGTTGTTAGGTTGCTGCCCCCAAATTGGTAAGTTTACAGTAATTTTGCAGCTTTTGTTTATTATCTTGAATATTATAATAGCTAGAGATAAACTGTAACCAGCAAAATTGTTCAGCAAAGTAAGATCTGATCTACAAATAAGTCAACATGTACAAAATTGTCAATTAACCCCATAAAGAGTTATTGCCCTTTAAAGTCAATTATAATATTTTGTAATATTTTACAAAAATCTTCTCCTCTGAAACTTCTGGGCAAAATAAAACCAAATTTGGCCTAAATCATCCTTAGGGTATCTAGTTTAAAAAATGTATCCAATGACCCTGCTCAACAACCAAGATGGCCGCCTTTGAGCTTAAAATAGAACATGGGCTAAAATAAAGTATATTTCTCTGAAACTACTGGGCCAAGTTCATTACAAATAGAGATAATTGTAAACAGCAAGAATGGTCAGTAAATTAAGACCTACAAACAATCACCAAAACAGAGAATTTTGTCATGAATTCTATTCTTGTCTATAATGTGTGTCCTTTGTTTAATATGCACATAGACCAAGGTGAGCGACACAGCTCTTTAGAGCCTTTAGTTTGTAAGTACCATGAAATAATTAACACAGTCACTGAACTATTAATGTCACAGATATATTGGATCTTTCTTCTCATTTAATTTGGTAATTCTTTTTTGCAGACACATTTGAAGGATTTTCTGAGCTATCCTCACAAGCAACAACAATGTCAAGCCAGGACTGGCTTGAAACACAAATGACCACCAAAGACAGATTTAATGCAGCTATGAAAATGTTATCACATTCATTTGAACCTCTTAATTGCCAATTGTCAAAACCATGGAATACACTTAGTAAAAGTTCAAGGTCATATTATTTGAAAAAGACACAGGAGTCAATTAGGTTGATTTTAAATGTGATTGCACCTGGACAAGAGGATGTGCTATTAGATAATTTACAGCAAAAAGCGGTTTCCATTGATTCCACTACTAGATGCATAATTGATGCTTTCCACAATGCTAGTAACTCAAGAACACAGATTCAAATTCTTTCTCTAATTGTTAACAAATTTACCAAACTAGAACTTCAAAAATTGATCCCTGGATTATCTGTGGCAAAAATTGATGGTGCTAGAAAACATTCATTAGTTGTTGGGGCAGGAAACCTTGTTAATCCACCCAAAATTTACCAAACTAAATTAACAAAGCCAAGAGTAACACATTTCATTGAAATCGTTATGAATCCATTATATTCTACCATTATTGGTTTTGGACAAACTATGTTAAAGTTATCAACTAATGAAAAAATGGAAATTCCTAGAGTAATAAGAAATGTAATAAATGCAAGAATTATAAGTAACTACCAAAATTATTGTGAAGAAAATAACTTGGAATCATACAGCAGACCAACATTGTACAGAATTCTCAAAGTATGTGCAGCATCTAAACAAAAAGCTTTACAAGGTCTTGACAATACAACTTCTGGTGGAATGGGAGCAATTGACACATTGCTTAAACTGGTGACAAAACTTGAGACATTTGGTATAAGTCATGAAAGTGTGGAAAAATTGAAAGACAGTTTGCATGTAATTAACCAGTTTTTGAAATTTAGTACAAAATGCAATTGAATAAACTAGATGGTTGTACAGATCACTGCACTGCATACTCTTTAAGTGACCCTTCAATTCCTGGATTTGCTTCTAGTTGTGAACATCAGCATGATGCTAATTGTGATAAATGCAGTCTTGTTGACAATGTGCTTGGCCTAATTACAACAGAGCTTTCTAAAGTTCAAGTAAACGAATCGGTACAAGATGATATTGACTTTGATCTTAACAGTGCAACAAAGAATTTATTGGAATGGAAAAGGCACCTATTAAGAACTGTGCATCAAGATGCTGCTAGAAATGATATTTTGAAGAATTTAACACCTAATCAGAGTTTGATCATTATGGATTGGGCAATGAAGTTTTTGCCTGTACAATTCCGTGAGACTCAGTCAGAATTTTTCGGAAAGAAAGGTCTTAGTTGGCATATTTCATGTTCAGTTACAAGGTCAGCATCATCAGATGAGTTAGATCTCAACTGTTACATTCACATACTTGAAAATGGGACACAAGGCTGGTTTTCTATTGCAAATATTTTGCTCCATTTGCTGGAACAACTCAAGTGTAAGAATCAGTCTCTGGAAGAAATTTATCTCAAAAGTGATAATGCTGCATGCTACCACTGTGTGAACCTTTTAAGCTTCATCCAGCAGAATAACTCAGCCTTCCCAATAAGAATCAAAGAATACAACTTTAGTGAGGCTCAATCAGGGAAAGACCTGTGTGACAGTAAAACAGGGTCCTCAAGGTTGCACATATACAGGTATGCAAATGAAGGACACAGTGTTCTAAATGCAGGAGACATGAAAAAAGCCCCTGAAAGCTATGGAGGTGTTAAAGGAACAAATGTTTGTGTTGTTTCTATTGACCAGGCATCTGAGCCTAAGATTAAAAGTAAAATTCCTGGGATTAGTGTATTGAACAATTTTGCTTTCACTGAAATTGGAATTGTTGCAAGAAAGGCCTATCAAGTTGGTTCTGGACAGCTTATACAAACATCAGGAATATCTGACCAAAACCTTTCTACAGAAAGGGTGTTTAATCTGGAGGTAAGTGTTAGAATTAGATTTAATTAAAAATTATACAAAAAAGGTGCACTGAAAAAAAAAATTAACTTCTGTAATGTTTTCCAAATTATTCCTGGATTAAACAAAATTATATATCTACCAACAAATTATGTGCTAAATAATCATGGACTTTCATGGTAAAAGGCAAGACATTTTACTAAATTCAAGATATCTTATAAACTTTATAAAATATATCATATAGTTAATAACTTAAAGATATTAAATATAGTTTATAAGATATATTATATATTTTATAAGTTATCTCTTATAAGTTATAAGATATCTTGTATAATTTTTAAGGTATTATAAAAATTATATGAGATATTTTATAAACTATTATATGAGAAACCTTATATACTATATAAGTTATCTTATAAATTTAAAAGGATATGATAAAGTATATAATATATCTTCTAAAAAATATATTTATAAGATAACTTTATAATTAACTTTATGAGATATCTCATATAATATACAAGATATCTTATGTATCTAGTTTATACGATATCTTATGAAGAAAGTTATACGAGAATCTTATAAATTGTATAAGATATATATCTCATGTATAATATAAGATATCTTATGAAGAAAATTATACAAGATATCTTATAAATTGTATAAGATATCTCATATGTAATATATAAGATATCTCATATAATATATAAGATATCTCATAAAATATATAAGATATCTCATATAATAATATATAAGATATCTTAAATATATGAGATATTTCATATAATTTTAAATTTATAAGATATCTTATAAACTTTATTATAAAACTACATAATAAAAGTTATCTGATATATTATATGAGATATCTTGAAGATTAAATAAATAGTAAAACGGTTTGCCATAAATGTACATCACATAGAACATTTATGAACTAGCATTAACAATCGATTCCAAAGTGAGACATAAAAAAAATGTATCCTCAGTGATGATCATAGAAAGTACACTTGATTACTCACCTCAACCTAATGATCGACCTTTTTCATCTTGAAAAAAAATACCTTTGCATGTCACCCTTTATATCTAATTAAAACATCAATCTTAATTGGTGATTGGCCAAGCAACATTTATTATTATTATATATATATTATAACTGAGAGCATGTACGACGGTGATTTACAAATCAAGTTGGAGTTTTACACTGTGACTGGTAGTGGTAGGGGATTTTTTGCCTAAAATTACATTCAGAATAATATTATTATACATGAAATATTTTGTTCAACAAATTTTTGACAATATATAATATATATATATTTAATGTTTCAGGTCCATGAACCTTTTACAGGTATTCAAACAGCCGGGAAGGTTTCATATCCCAAAACAGCACAACACACAGCAAATGAACCATCAGCTATTCCAGAAGATGAAACCACCTATGCATCTGACAATCAAAATGTAAACTTTTTCTGTTGTCCTGATATTTCCTGTAATAAAACTTTTGCTAGAGCAACAAATCTGGAAAAGCATATTCTTGTCGGAAATCATTCATATAGAACAAACAAATCTGGATTAGATACTGCAGTTGAAGTATATGCTTCTATTTCTGAATCTGTTCAGGATACACAAATAAATTTGATTCAAACCGTGAGTGCAGCTAAGCAGTCAAATGCAACTAGTAATATGATAAATAAGGGATGGGCTCTAAAAGGCAAAAGAACAAATATTCGCTTTTCACCAAAAGTTAAATCCTATTTAAATGAGATATGTTTTAATTGTGAGAAAACTGGGAAACGGCCAAATTATTTTGCTCTGTCAGATGAACTCAGAAAATCATGTGATGAAAACGGAGAAAGATTGTTTAAGATGGAGGAATGGCTGAATCCTACGCAAATTAAAGGCTACTTTGCAACACTAGTGACTAAACTAAAATCAGGAACTATAAGTTCTAATTCTATAACTGATAATAGTGCTGTTGTTCAGTCCATTGAATTGAGAGAAATTGAAGAAAATGTGGAACAAGATGAAAAACTGTATGAAGCTGTTGCAATTATAGATGCAAATACATATAATGAAAATGTTGAAAATTTTGTAGATGAAGTATACACGGCTGTTAACATGTAGTGTCACATAGGTTTTAACTTTATCTGACCAAAAGCAATATAAAGTTATCATTATAATACATGTCAATTATAATACAGTACACAAGAATTTGAATGGGTAAAATGTTATTCATCCACCAGTCTGCCTTATCTTTCAGTCCTGTTCTTTTCAGTCAGCACTACAAACCTTCATAGATGATAAGAACAAACTACAGGAAATAATGATTCAGTAATTTTTACTAGGAGTTATGCCCTTTTGAACTTGGAATTTTTAGCCTTATATACACTTATGCAATAGTCCTCTGAAACCACACAACATAATTTGATTTAACTTTGTAGATAATTACATAATACAATGTAGATATGCATATTGATAGGAAATTAGAATTCAATATTTTTGCTTTCAGTTGCCCTTTTGAATTTGTGGCCATGATGTACTACTGCAACATTTTGTCATCGTGACAGAATTTTATGAAGCGTTTGAAAATAGACTATGAGGATGTGCATATCCACAGCAATATTTTATTAGTTGTCTTTTGTAGGAGAAATGAGTCTTTTAACTTAGAAATTTGGTCACATTTTGTTTGTCCAGTGACAACTTGATAATGTGGGGGCATGGGGTATTGGAGCTTGTTAAAATTTGTCAGTTTCTATTATAATATCAATGTCAATGTTATATAAACAACATGTATATTCACAGGAAAAGAAACTTAGATTAATTGTTGATCCTATGATCTGTCGATATGTGAGAAATAACTGTACAATACAATGTCGCAAAATACCCCATACAAAATAAGTTTGTAATTTTGGTGTCTTATGGGTAAAGCTTGTTAACTGTACACCCTTACTTTGTTTTAAGAATTATATAAAGGATCCTTTTTATTAAACTATCCTGTTCTTAAGACTTTCAGACATTTCAGTACTTTTATATGATGTCTTACATTTTTAAAAAGACAAGACTCTCCCTTTCTTTGTATATTTTTTTACTCAAACTTGCATTAAAGGTGGGATGCTCTAGGGGCTATTTCTGGTTTACTGATTTGCAGTGTTTCAAATTAAATTGATTTCTGCTGAGAATAATTGTTAGGTATGGGCAAAATGTAAGCTATAATATCTTTTTAATATACTGACCATTTACATGATTTACAAAGATTTTTAAATCAAAATTAGCAAAATTAATTTATTTTTAAATTCCGATTTTTCAAAGAAAGTGTTCAAATAAGCATTATTTCAATTAGAAACATTGTTCATATGAAAAAAAAACAAGAGTATGATAACTTGAAGTGTGTTAATAATATAAACAAACATTATCTAAAATTATGCAGTTTATTCACACATGTGCTCTATATGTACCTGTCCAAAAACAAGGGAAAATGACCAAAATCTCCAAATTTGCCTAAAAACTGGTAAAGTGGCTGTTTCTGTGACATTATGACTGCTTAAATTATGACCTCATGGGTTAAAAGCTTATTGTTTTTTATTTTCCATAACCTCAACTTTTAAACAGTCAAAGAAAGAAATCTAAATTCAAAAGTTCATATTTTATATGAAAAATGGCCAAGAATGGCCCTAATTGCCCCATCTCCTTTCATTTAAATTTTCAAGATACTTTTATTTAACCAACTACAGCCCCCTTTTTAACAAGAAAATCTTACATATAAGCAATTTAAAAGGATTACATGTGCGAAGTATATGCATTTTACAGATATCACAGCTTATTATGCCAATTTGATGAAAATCGTTTAAGTACACATGTACCCAAATTTTGAAAAATTTTCCTTTAACTCATGATTATTTGCCGTGGGTGGATTTTTTATATGTTATAAGACTTAAGTTAAGGTTTATAGAAAGTCTTTTGATTTTGATTTATTTTCATCATTTATGGAGATACGCTTGTTTCATTTCATGCCATTTTAGCTCTATGAGCAAAGTGCCTTTACATAGAGATTTTGAAATTATTTTGACAGAATGTTGTTTAAGATAAGAAAAAAAAATTTTATGGAATGAATCATTAAATGTAGTTCTTCTGGAAATATCAATAGAAAAATGCATTATTCTTACTGATAAAAAAATATTTAAGGTCAAAAATGGTGAAAATTATGATTTTTTGGCTATTTGCATATGTAAAATGACATGTAAAGTTTCACCTCCTCATAATTTTTTTTTTCTAATAAATTTTAGAAAAATATTATGTGTTTTCATTTTACCTATCCATATGTACTATCTGGTAAAGATTTCATTTGTTTTTGAAAAAAGTACTTTCGAACCATTTTGCATGGTTTTCTGTGAGACTTGCACTTAATAAAATTGCATATCACGGCTTTGTGACGCCAAATACGTTGACCCAGCCTTAATAACTTTGACCCGGACACATCACCGACGTCATAATATATGAACCGACGTTGATAAATTTGACCCGAACTTATCACGTCATCTTCCGGTTTGCTGGTGAAACAAAGAAAACACTCGTTTCTATCTTGCAAAATACGCAATACAACCCGATAAATCGATTATCTGGTTGTCAGCATATTTATATTGTAAAATATCAGCTGCTCGACACAATATAAAGACTTTTTGATCTCGTTCACTGTGCTCACTCGACAAAAAGCTTCATATTGTGACTCGCAGCTGATATTTTACGATATCAATATGCAGACAACTTGATAATCGGTACTTGTCAGTAAAAGACGGGAAAATGATAATAAATATATTCAAAATTTTGCTCTGGGTACTGTATTTTAGTCATAAACAAGCATCTTTCTAAATTTCATAAAATTCCATGTAGGTTTGACAAAGTTATTGATGTCTAAAAAATTCGTAAGTAGACAGAATCCCAGCGATGAACTAAATCAGGAAACCCATCGGGAACATGTAGACGAGGCTAGACCAGATTTAATTGAAGATATTGGTAAGCATTGTTCTCATAATCGTGGTGTCTGAAACGTATTTAATTTAAGGCATGCCTTGATTTAAGCTGAAAGAACCTATTAATTTATTCTATTGTTATTTTTAATTCCAGGATTCAATTTGCGGTTACCCCCAAAGATAGTGAAAAGGGGACGGCCTAAGGGGGCAGAAGTTACTGTAATTGGTTTACCAAAAAAAAGATCATCAAGAGTCATACCTTTTCTCAAAAGAGCACCTAAGGAAAAGGAGAAGGGTAAGCAAAATGGAATAGGCATAACATTATATTCCATTATTTACAAATTGACTATTAAATGTAATGAAACAATTATATAATGTACTTTTTTTTTTCAGCGATTCTATCATGGATTCTGAGGGACGAAAACGGCACACTTGATGACATTATTTCTGATAAAACACAGGCCGATGCCAATAATCTTCTAGATGCTTCGTTAATAAATAACAAAATATTTGACGAAAATGTAAACCTTCAGCGCATCAAAAAATATTTTACCTCTGAAGCGTGGAAACAACTTAAAATTCGGATCAACGAAAGAAGAGAATCGTGCAAATGGATATGTATCAAATGTAAAAAAAACCTACATGATCAGGACTCTTTGGCCTGTGATTGTTGTTTGGACTGGCAACATTTGAAATGTGCAGGGTTGAAATATGTGCCAAAACAATCATATTGGATATGTAAAATTTGTTCCAAGTCTTAATTAGTTACATGAATCTTTTATAATTGGTTTAATTTGACATTATTACTTGCTTCTTTAATTTTTATATAGACACCCAAGCTTTAATTTTAGTCATTTAAGATATTTGAAAATTTCAGTTTCTTTTTTATATTTTACTAAAAGATTATTTTTAAATCTCATATGGGTATTTTTCAAAATCAGTAAAATTTTATTCTTTAGATTTGCATTTACATTTTATAATAGTATTAATTTTTATCATGTTTTTCTTTTACAGGGACTGTACAGTTTCATTTTCCATCAGTGTGCAATGTTAATTATGTATCATTATCTAATAAATACAATTTGAAAATATTATTTTTCATACTCTTCACTCGTTCTACACGAAATCCCCATATTATCGATACTTTCCGTATATATTTCACGTTTCATTCCCGATCCGATGGCATTTTATTATAAAACCGGATGTGGGTACGCGTAGCCTATGAATGGCAATTTGACTATTCGTACCCGCATGCGGGTACGCGCAGACACTGCCTTTCGCGGAACCCAGTGTCTCGCCTACTTTTGCTGTTAGTCGCAGGCTCAACAAAAATGGGGAAAAAAGGTTTATGAATCTAATAAATGTTTAAAAACTTTAACTGCAGACTACGTAATGTTAACTGGAATAAAACTAAGTCCATTTATAAGTAATATACGGAAAAACAGGAAACAAATTTTTACCAAATTTCCTTCTAGATACTAGCTTTTGATCATAAACAAGTCTGTCCAAGTTTGGTACAAATCCAGGATAGTTTAAGAAAGTTATTAAAATTTTGAAAGCTTTAACCACAGACTGAACCTAAATGTTGACGCCGCCGACGCCAACGCCGAATGCTAAATCTAGGATTGCTAGGTCTCGCTTTCGCGAAATTTATTTCGCAGGCTCGTCAAAAACCTCCAATTGCAAGGAAGTATAGCAACTGTTCAGAATTGCATGAATAAAAGAAGATATCGGGTATACATCATTGAGACATTGAGACATTAACTCACAACAAAACGTGATATTTAGAGTTCAACAATAAATAATATAGTGTTATTACTGCAAAGTAAACAGCAATAACTGACTATGAAAGAACAAATCTAATACAACAAACCATTTAACAACTGTTTAGGAAAAATTTAAGTAAAAAATGGGAACGCATGTAAAATGTAAAAAAAAAACAAATACCATGGCCCTTTCACTTCACTTATTTGTCACGAGCTCCACGTGCTTTATGTTGATTGTTTATCAATGTCACGATCCGGTAAACTTCGGCAACTAACTCGAAAAGTTAATTAGCTTGATATCAACAATCACTGAATGAAATATTATTTGTCGCTAATACGTTATAGATTCGTAATAATTATAAAAATGTGCACACAGGACTTAGTTTAGTATATATGCATACATTGGTTCAATAATTTCGATAACATTAAAATTTAAAGAAATTTAAACTCGTTTTATATGACTTTTAACGTTTTTTTTTACCTTGATATTTTGTAGAGTTTGTTAAACTTTTTAAAAAATGCTTAATTGGGCCGCGAAATAAGTTTTAAACTTTTCATTTTGTCCACCTTACATTACATTGTAGTGTTTTTGTTCTATAGGAAGAAGACATTCACTGATGCCAGACATGTTCTCTTGACATGCTTTAGACATTTGACGGGGCTTAATTATTCTTAAAAGTTTAAAACCCGTACAGGTAAAATTGTTACTGTTTTTAATTCGTTTTTGTGGGCCGTATATTTCTAAGCATTTTTATGAATTTGTTCAGATGACTTTATGCCCGCCGTTCCACAATATCGGGTTAATTTCCCTTTAACAACGAAAGAGACAATAGTTTCCATGCATTAAGCCCAAAGTTTATTTTTGTCTCTTATCCAAGCATAATTTTAGAACATGAAATACAAGGTGATTCAAAACTTTTTTTAAGAAGTATATAATTTTGGCGGGTACTCAAAATAACTTACGTGATAGTTTTGAAGTATGATCTGAACAATTCTGACTCATGGCCTTGAACTTCTCTGTGTTGGATTGGCGCGTCATCTAAATAAGTGTCTAATTCAACTGTTTTATATGCTGCTGTACCATATTCGTCCTGAAAATTAATTAAAATTGGAAAAATCAAATTCAATTCTTTCAATAATCTCAAGTATCATTGGGGTTGAAACGCCATTCCATTCAGCTGACATCATGGTTTGGACTTTAGTTTATTGGATGGACAATAAACAATAAATCTGCTAAGAGCCTCTTTTCCTTTGAAAACCGCCAATTACCAGTCACCAGTTAATTTTTTTAATTCACAAATACTCACTTTCAATTTTTTTCCCTGATGTATTTACATTTGATTATGTTTCATGCTGTCGAGTCATTCTGAGCATTTTATTTTGCACGTTCTCAAAACGTCCCGAAAAAATCGACCTTAGGTCAATTCTCAACGAAAAAGTCTACGCCATAGATACATGTGTATATGTAATCCAGACTAAATATGCATGACAATTCTAATTTCGTTTTATAACCGCTAATTATTCAAGAGATCATAAGCCATAGATAGAATGGCATAAACCGTTTGAAAAGATATTTGATGACTATGTTATATCTGGTACACTTGTATCAGGGATATGGAAATGAAATTACCGATACCCTTTGATTGTAAGTTGAAGGGGTTTGAAAATAATCAGCTTGAATAGAGTAGAAAATGTAAAATCCTTTATATACTTTGTGTTTAAAATACAAGAAACCACGACCAGCCCCTTTTGTATAAAATGCTGAACACAATAACTTTTGTCATCTCCATTGCAATTAATGTAGACACAACTGTTCGAGATCATCCACTTTGCCTAGACTTACTATAAATTATAAACAAACCAACATGTCATATGCTGTGAGTTTCACTACCTAGTAAAGAAATAAGGGGGATGACTGAGTCGTTGTGTTATTCATTATACAAAGGGGTATGCATTTAATAAAATTATCATAGAAAAGGGAAGGTGGTCCATTGTTATTGTATTGCAACTATCCTATACCACGGGGTGACATTGGGTCATTGTCTTCTACATTTATATACTATCATTTTATCAACTAATGTATACAACAAACAATATGATATCAGGTCATTTTGTTCAACTGGTCCTTTAAGGGGATAACCTAGGGACATATACACAAAATGAGATGGCCTGAGACCATTGTATTATACTAATAAAATGGAACAAGGGAAATCCCCTGATGGTTTTTATACGACCGCAAAAAAATTTTGTGGTCGTATATTGGTATGACGTTGGCGTCGTCGTCGTCCGGCGTCGGCGTCGTCGTCGTCGTCGTCGTCCGGCGTCGTCCGAAGACACATTGGTTTTCGCACTCTAACTTTAGTTTAAGTGAATGGATCTTTATGAAATTTTACCACAAGGTTCAATACCACAAAAAGAAGGTTGGGATTGATTTTGGGGGTTATGGTAATAACAGTAAAGGAATTAGGGGCCAAAAAGGGGCCAAAAATAAGCATTTTTGTAACTTCCAGACATAACTTGTGTGTTAGTGTATGGATCTCTCTGACATTGTACCACAAGGTTCCATATCACTAAAGGAATGCTGGGATTGATTTTGGGGGTAATTGCCTCCAAATTTTAGGAATTAGGGGCCAAAAAAGGGGCAAAAAACAAGCATTTTTCTAGTTTCATGACAATAACTTGTGTGTAAGTGTATGGATCTTTCTGAAATTGTAATACAAGGTTCCATATCACAAAGGGAAAGCTGGGTTTGAGTTTGGGGGTAATTGCCCTAAACGTTTAGGAATTAGGGGCCAAAAAGGGGCCAAAAAACACATTTTTTTCTAGTTTCCAGACAATAACTTGTGTTCAAGTGTATGGATCTCTCTGAAATTGTACTGCAAGGTACCATACCACAAAGGGAAGGCTGGGATTGAGTTTGGGGGTGATGAATCATAATGGGGGTTCAAAAAATTTTGGGGGGGGATTTATTTTTTTTTTCCTTTTTTTTCTTTTTTTCCTTTTTTGTTTCTTTTAAAATTTTCCATTTTAAGTTGGTTATTTCTGATTTATATTTAAAATCAAATAATAATGATATGGTAGGAGATACACACCAAACAGGATGTGTAAATTATTATATAATAAGTATTGTGCAATAGCAAGAAATTTTCAATTGCACAGTATTGCACAATAGCAAGAAATCTTCAATTGCACAGTATTGCGCAATAGCAAGAAATCTTCAATTGCACAGTATTGCGCAATAGCAAGAAATATCCAATAGCACAATATTGCGCAATAGCAAGAAATTGTCAATTGTACAGTATTGCGCAATAGCAAGAAATATTTAATAGCACAGGATTGTGCAAAAGAAGATACTTCCTATAAATTGCTTATTTCTTGACCAATTTCAATGGGGTTTTATTCTTGATTTCATGGGGTTCTTTAATATGCTGAATCTAACCGTGTATTTAGTTTTTGGATTTTGGGCCCCGTTTTTAAATTGGTCCACATTGAGGTCCAAAGGGTCCAAAATTAAACTTTGTTTGATTTCATCAAAAATTGAATTATTGGGGTTCTTTGATATGCCGAATCTAACTGTGTATTTAGATTCTTAAATTTTGGTTCCGTTTTCAAATTGGTCTACATTAAGGTCCAAAGGGTCCAAAATTAAACTTAGTTTGATTTTAACAAAAATTGAATTCTTAGGGTTCTTTGAAAAGCTGAATCTAAACATGTATTTAGATTTTTGATTATGGGCCCAGTTTTCAAGTTGGTCCAAATCGGGGTCCAAAATTAAACTTTGTTTGATTTCAACAAAAATTGAATATATGGGGTTCTTTGATATGCTGAATCTAACCATGTATTTAGATTTTTGATTTTTGGGCCCCGTTATCAACTTTGTCCACATTGAGGTCAAAAGGGTCCAAAATTAAACTTTGTTTGATTTCATCAAAAATTGAATTCTTGGGGTTCTTTGATATGCTGAATCTAACCATGTATTTAGATTTTGGATATTGGACCATAATAGGTGAATGTCCAATTTAAAATTTTTAAGTTCTTAGACCACATTCAATCTGTGTTAGAAACCTATGCTGTGTCAAATATTTAATCACAATCCAAATCCAAAGCTGTATCAAGCTTGAATGTTGTGTCCATACTTCCCCCAACTGTTCAGGGTTCGACCTCTGCGGTCGTATCAAGCTGCGCCCTGCGGAGCATTTTATTTAAAAAATACAAAAACAAACTAAACAAAACAAGAAAACAGCTATATGCAACCATGTGTTTTAAGAAAAAAAATAATGCATAAAAGAAAAATTAAGTCATTGGAACAAAATTGCAAAGATCATAATGGATGAACTTAGATACAAAAAAAAAGACCTAGGTTTTAGATCCTTGTTTAGAGATGCAACTATTGATATATTTAGTCAAGCGTTATTGAAAAATTCCCTAGAAGTATACTTCTGCAGTAGTTTTGAAATACATCATTAATATTTAAAACCTTCATTGTGAATTTAATAGTAAATAAATTCCCTTTCACAGTGACACCTGCACACTCCTTTAGAATAATTCACAAATCTGTAGTTCCAGACAAGTAAATATGGTGTATATATTGGTTTATATTTTACAGGCAGTCAACACAGATAAATTGACAGCATTAGTAAACACAATCAATGGAAAAGAAGGAACTGGGTAATGATCAAATTTCTAATGTAAAGTTTTTATACGACCGCAAAAAATTTTTGGGATCGTATAATGGTATGATGTCGTCGTCCGAAGACACATTGGTTTCCGGACAATAACTTTAGTTTAAGTGAATGGATCTCTATGAAATTTTTTAAGGAGGTTCAATACTACAAAAGGAAGGTTGGGATTGATTTTGGGGATGATGGTCCTAACCGTTTTGGAATTAAGGGCCCAAAAGGGGCCCAAAACAAGCATTTTTCTAGTTTCAGGATAATAACTTGTGTATAAGTATTTCGATTGCTCTGAAATTGTACGACAATGTTTAATACCACAAGTAAAAGGTTAGGATTTATTTTAGGGGTTATGGGGCCAACAGTTTAGGAATTAAGATTAAAATGTTCCATATCACAAAGGGAAGGCTAGGGTTGAGTTTGGAGTTAATTGCCCTAATATGTAGGAATTAGGGACCAAAAAAGGGCCAAAAACAAGCATTTTTCTAGTTTCCAGACTAGAACTTGTGTTTAAATGTATGGATCTCTCTAAAATTGTACTACAAGGTTCCATACTACAAAGGAAAGGCTGGGATCAAGTTTTGGGGTTTTTGCTCCACGGGGGGTTTCAAAAAGTTGGGCGGGGGGATTTTTTTTTCCAATTTTTTTTAGAGGATTCATATTTTTTTTTCAAAATTTTTCACAAATTTTGAATTTTTGAAAAGTTTCAAGAAGAAATCTTCAATTGCACAGTATTGCGCAATAGATTTGTAAGATCTTTGACCACATTTATTTTGTGTCAGAAATCTATATTATGTAAAAATTTTTATCACTATCAAATTTCAGACAGTATCAAGCTTGAATATTGTGTCCAAATTTGTACCAACTGTTCAGGGATATGACCTCTGCGGTCGTATCAGGCTGCGCTGAGAAGCATTTTATTGTAATACTACTACTGTACATGGTAAACAAAATAAATTACCTCTGGTCAGTGTCTTCTACATTGGTAGACAAAGAGGATCACCAGCTGGGTTATTGGTTTCGGCACTTACATATATTTGCAAAGAGGAGTTAAACATGTTCAGCACTATTTCAAAGAGGAAACGCCTTGGTTGTTTCCGTTTTATACATGCACCTTTTTAGGGATATATATCTTTTTACCAATTTCAGACTACCAAAATGTACTTATTATCAACCATAGACACATGTCAACCTCTTAATCACTGTTTGTTATAAAAATTAAATAAATGGAGTATGTGTCGATGGGACAGATGCTCCCGCTTGCATATCAAGTTATAAAGGGATATAACACAAGAACGGTAAAAGTGACGCAACCCAAATAAGAACTTAAAAAAATCAGCAATTTTACCATTTGTAAAGGAGCATAACTCTAGAACGGTAAAAGTGACGCCACCCAAATTCAAACTTGATCTGTGTTTTATGGCAATAACAATTATTTATAAGTTTCATAACATTGGTTGAGGCAAACTAAAGTAAGAGAACAAAAACTAATTTTTGGGCGTACGTACGGACGTATGGACGGATGTACAGATGGACAAGGATGACACTTAATGATCCTCTGCTGCGGCGGGGGCATTAAAAAGATACCCTAGATTTGGCACCGCAAATTCTCAAAGTGACAAAAAACATTAAAAACAAAGATTGATAACCTAGAAGACTAGAAAAATGCACATTATATCAAGATAAACTTGTTTTGAACTCGACTCGTCCCTTTTATAGATAGCTTAATAACAAATGTACAGAATATATGTATCTATAAATAAAATTCGAACTTAATTTACTTTAATTTTCGGTTAAAAGCCGTCAAACCCAGCCATAACTATCATTACAATCTAACACACAACAGAGGATGCTCGAAGTGACTGATTGCTGCATCAAAGTACGTTGATACAGATATCATGCAAAATGTTGTTGTACATTCCATTAATTGTAATATGGACTGAAGGAATCTCATTATGGAAAAATGTTGTGCATGAAAGGATGTATATCAAACATATGAAAAAAAGTAAATCAATGATAATTGGAATGCAAAATATTATAATGTACCTGTGTGCTGTATTTTCCGATCCAAAAATGTACATCGAACAACAATTGTTCGTTTCCTGTTTCTTTGTATGTCTGGAATAAGATTTACATATATATTTGTCTGTTATATCACTAGAAGTGAAAATAAATAAATAAAGGAATTGAAAAATGTATCACCGTACAATTAAGATATTTTAGCATTTCTAATATCTCTATGAAAGTATTCGACCTTCTAATTATTTTTTTTCATAAATAATTCGTTTTCTTCTATATTGACAAAGAAAGATATACATGTACATCTAAACTGTGAAAACTTAATAGATCTAGCACTCTGTATACTTTGTGAATCATTTATTCAAACATCAGCGGACTTTTGAAATCTACAATAGATAAAGCAAAACCCGTTCAGACGTCATATTTTGCCTTATTTTAAAAACAAACAAATATTAGGAAAACGAAAATATAGTTTCACAGAAAAATTGAGTTCGCATCTGAATAACAATTTAGAACAGTTATGTAATAACGTGACGTGTTACTAAGTGTACTTACATTCAGTATGATATAAGAATCTCCGTCAAAAAATTTCCCATAATCTTCCTCTTGCCATTGTGTAACTTTGAATTTCTGAAATGAGCGTTAACACTTTAAAATGGCATTTGTGTTACCAATCATTTGGATATGAAAAACTAACTTTTTTCTTCCTAAAAACATCTTGCACGCTTATACTAGTATTATGGTAGGTTTCATTTATTTCTTAACTTTTATTTCGCTAGAACGTCGTTTGAAAAATAAAAAAAATCCAGCTTTATTTTACAATACATTGCAGAGTTTCATACAACTTTTACTTTCCAAACTTAAGGACAAAAAGCAAACAATTATGCCTAACTGTGAAATCGAATATACATACCACAATTCTCCAGATTTGGATACCTGGCTTCAAACCTGCTTTTTTCCAGGCTGGTTCATGCTCTGCAGATTCCTCTGAAAGGTGTAAAATATAACCTTAGTAATTAATATAGTGAAATTAAGGATATACAGAACTTTCAAACTTAAGATAAAATCAGGGCCGGTTATTTGAGATCTAGTCTGGTTATTTGTGTTGTTCGTCAATGATTTTATTCAGGCTTTTTGTGATAATATTATAGTCAGGTTATTTGTGATAATGCTAGAGTCAGGTTATTTGTGAAAATGCTGTAGTCAGCTTATTTGTGATGTTGCTTAATAGTCAGATTATTTGTGATAATTTTATAGTCGGGTTATTTGTGATGTTGTTATAGTCTGGTTATTTGTGATAATGCTATAGTCAGGTTTTTTGTGATGTTGCTAGTCAGGTAATTTGAGATCTAGTCTGGATATTTGTTAAAATGCTATAGTCAGGTTATTTGTGATAATACTATAGTCAGGTTATTTGTTAAAATGCTATAGTCACGTTATTTGTGATAATGCTATAGTCAGGTTATTTGTAAAAATGCTATAGTCAGGTTATTTGTGATGTAGCTATAGTCAGACTGTTTGTGGTAATGCTATAGTCAGGTTATTTGTGATGTTGCTCTAGTCAGGCTAATTGTGATAATGCTATAGTCAGGTTATTTGTGATAATACTATAGTCAGGTTATTTGTGAAAATGCTATAGTCAGCTTATTTGCGATGTTGCTATAGTCAGGTTTTTTGTGATAATGCTATAGTCGGGTTGTTTGTGATGTTGCTATAGTAAGGTAAGTTGTGATGTTGCTTGTCGTGTTATTTGTGATGTTGCTTGTCGTGTTATTTGTGATGTTGCTAGTCGTGTTATTTGTGTTGTTTGTTAATGATTTTACGCCATATCTCCTTGTTATTCTTATTTTCAGTACAAACATGCCGAGAACTATGTTTTATGAAATGAAAAAAAAAATCTGTTAAAGGACTATAGAGTGGCAAGGAAAACAATGCACCCATCAACATGAACTGAGGGTTGAACCGTCTATACTATCCACCGCTCATTAAATTAGTTGAATTAGTGATGTTACATGTAGACGGTATGCCAAGGCCGAAATAAGATCCGTCTTCTGACAACGATGAGGTAGATCTTCAAGGTACAGGGGTATCTTCAATATCAAATAAATCCAAAATATTTACTTTGCAACTACCTTTAGATTGCAACGATGATGGTTATACAAAAATGTTGATTACATTAAATTTAGTAAAAAGAGATAAGCTATCTCTGAGTAGTAGACGACGACTCCGTGATGAAAAACAAGAAAAGTAAGAGATCCAGTATCTATAACAGAAAATAGGTTATAATATAAAAGAATATTTCCTACAAAAAAATCGTTTTAAATATTTAGAAAAAAGGGGGTTCCATTCACTAAGCGTCTCTGTTTAGTATTGACAAGTTTGATGTATTTTCATAATACAAAACGTCGAAAACTCAAAAGTTTGTCGAATGTGTTCATGATTTAATGACACTTTAAAATATTTAAACTTTAATCAACTTTAATTGACATTTGTGTAACCAAGCCTAGCTGGTCATTATATGTTCTGTTAGGAGTTTGCTTTGTCTTTTTGTCCGATAATTTTAAGCCGATGTAATAATACAGATATAATAAAGAACACACTTATCAAATAGGCCAATCAATGAATGGTTGACTGGTTTTAATATAGGATTAACGAAAGTTGTTTCATTTTGTGTTAAAACAACCGTATTTGTCCTTCTTGTTTGTAAATCTAGTGATACGAAACAGTCAAAAAGTTTTCGTCTAGCCTATAACTATTTAATATACAGAACAATCCCTTCTATACAGGTACAGGTATAAACAATAATACTTCTGAAACCTGTATTGCAATGAATTGTATCGAGTATTTTTATTTGTAGGGTAGAAAGTCACATAAATGGTTCATTTATTAGTATTTTTTATGGCTTTGCAAGTCAGTAAGAGAACATCCTATTACACTTTTCCACACAAAAATACGCATTCATCATTCTGTGATTATTTCCTTATTTTTCATATTTCAAATTTCACACGATCATGTTATGTGGACATATATCCGCCTATTATAGATATCTAATCTTTATTGCAGTTATAAACAAAACCGATGAAAAAACACAAAAAACCAACATATACAAGTGGTTTTTTCCTTAAATAAAACACAATGTGCATAACATTCATGGACGTTTTAGTCCAAATATTTTTTCATCGCAGTAGGAATTATACTCGGACATTGTTTAGGCATGATCTAGGATTGTTATTTCAATTTCATTCCGTAAAACAACATAAATATGTACAGTGCAGTATTATTTTAAAGAGATACAATTAACAGAAAACAGGAAAATGTGGTCAATAGTCAGTACGACTGATTTTTGTATTATTATGCTTATAAATGTGTTTACACAGTCTTTTTAGAAGAAAAAACCTTTTATTTCTTTTGTTTTTATTACATTTGGGTATGTCTGCATAAAAAATGCGGAGGTAAATGCAATTTCTTTTCGATTTTTTAGTGCAGGACATTATAATATAAAATTATATCAATCTCCTATCTCTGATCTGTAGAATGAAATGCCAATTGGCGCAAAAGCAAAGCACTGTATATATTCTCACTGAACTTTCGACTTTTGCCCATCGGCATCTTTCGATCAGTAATATATTATTTACAAAACATTAATAATGTCTTTGTCGGGATATTTGAAAATAATCTTCAAATGTTTGAATCTTCCATATAGATTATATGATTAAAACATTTTGCGGTATTTCGGATCTTTGAAAGGCCTTAATGCTAAAAAATAAAAATGAGACGAAGTAATTTATTTCATGGTTATCAATCGTGTAGTTGTAATGAGCTAACACGTAAGCTTTTCTGAAAAGTGTGTCATTTTCACACATACAGTTTACACCAATAAGAAATTAAATCTAATCTCCTTTCAAGTATATAAATTGTTAGTTGGTGTGGTTCAATTTTTCCATAATCAATTTCATTTGGCGTACCTGTTTTCACATGAAGAGGGGAACTTCAGTTTTCAGATGGAAAAGATGTATTAAAAATTTCAAATGCACTGTTTTGATTAAATCATTTTTCCATAACTACTAAAACTTCGAATCCATACAGGGGAAGGGCTTAACAGTTTTACCAAAAAGGCCTACTTTACATATTATTGACAGGATGGACATTTTTACCTTTCTTCAGTACACTTTTATAGTTTTTCGGAAATATTTCCCAATTTTCCCTGATGAACCTATCTTGTTTAAAATGAGACTAATAAGTTTTTTTATACTAGGTAGAACTCTCCGTTACTTGGTTGTTATCCCTTTGTAAAAAGATCTTTTATGTTTTAGACACGTTTACTTTCAGTTTCCAGTATGTGTTAAAATGAATATTTCAAATTTGAAGATCATCGATTGGTTTGACTCTACATGTAAAAAAAATCATCAAAGATACAAGGCTTATAATTTTCTAAGACAGACGCGAGTTTCGTCTACATACATGTGCAACAGTATCGTCTACATACATGTGCAACAGTATCGTCTACATACATGTGCAACAGTATCGTCTACATACATGTGCAACAGTATCGTCTACATACATGTGCAACAGTATCGTCTACATACATGTGCAACAGTATCGTCTACATACATGTGCAACAGTATCGTCTACATACATGTGCAACAGTAAGGTCTACATACATGTGCAACAGTATCGTCTACATACATGTGCAACAGTATCGTCTACATACATGTGCAACAGTATCGTCTACATACATGTGCAACAGTATCGTCTACATACATGGGAAACACATGTGAAACAGTATCGTCTACATACATGGGAAACAGTAGTGTATCGTCTACATTCAGCTATACAAACGATTTTAGACAATTTATATGGAGGGACCGTTTCCGAGGTCAATAATGGCAATAAAAGATATTTCTTGTAAATCACTTTGCATTTGTATAATTTGATATGATTACTTATACCCTTCCGTTTGCAATCTGCAACACCTCCTCTTTTAATTTCCCGCCCTGATCATCATCGTACTTCGAGAAGGATATGTTTATTTCACAAGTTCCGAAAAGTACTTCCGATAAAACAGCAAACACATTAAAATATGTACGTTAACATTAACAATACCATTTGTCGATTATTTTAAGTATCACTTTTAATGTACTGTGATCATATAATTTCCCCTCTACCGTAGAATCTAACATTTACTTTTTACTTGGGTCAGTTTGTAACAAATGTTGAGCAATATTTATTTTGCAATTACAGGTCACCGTAACTATTATGGCCTTCAACAATGAGCAAAACCCTTGTCGTATAGTAAACTAAAAAAGGCCATGGCATAACATGTGAATGTGCAACAACTCAAAAGTGAAAACATATGCACGATTTAACCTAATAATATTACACCAACACAATAATGGCTTTGGACGCGCAAATGAAGGCTGTGGCGTGGTTAATCATTTTTGTAAGCGTTAAATTTTCCAGTAACCTGAGACGATGGTGTAACAACACAACATTAGAACAAACTGTAAAAAGCAGTTGAAAAGGGTTCGACTCAAACCCGGTAATAAACAACAAAAATATACACAAAATAATACAGGAGACACAAAGTACCGATCAAAAAACGCTCGGAGTTTAGCAAAGTTAGTTTAAATAGAATTGGGAATGGAAATGGAAATGAGGAATGTGTCAAAAGAGGTAATAACCTGACCAAAGAGCAGAAAACAGCCCAAGGCCACCAATGGGTCTTCAGCTTCAACTGGCCCTTAAACAATAATGTATATTGGTATTAGTTCAGCGAAATGGACGCCACACTAAACTCCGAAACATATGAATGAACCAAAATTGAAAAAACACACAAGACTAACAAAGGCTAGAGGTTCCCGATTTGGGACAGGCGCAAAAATGCGGCGGGGTTAAACATGTTTTGTGAGATATCAACCCTCCTCTATACCTCTAGCCAATGTGGAATAAACAAACACACAGCAATACGCCGAGTTAAAATCAGTTTAAAAGAAGTCTTAGTCTGTTCCCTTTCACAAGCTTTATACAACTCAATATGCCTATCCCGTTTACTTTCATAATCTGTGTACATCTCAAAGCCCAGTTTCAACTTAAACGGTTCAAGCTCGATCAATACATGTTAAAAAAAAAAGACGCGAGTCATACGCAACTATACTAAAATGCGACACAAACTAAAACCAAATCTAGGGGACAAAATATGGTCTTCAGCGATAGTCAAGAAATTCACACCAGTACTGTTCAGGGCAGTTTATAAAGCTTTGGTCCAATTAACATTTAGACCTTTCAAGACTGTTTGAGTGAACTTCAATTCAGTAAAGTACATAAATGGTATGTTCAAACTTTTCAAGATGATGCCTTCAAATAAGAAGTCTGTTTTCCCTATACCATTCAAGATAATTTAAGTAGATTTTTTCAATTGACATCATCATGGCGTGAAATATAAATGACTGTTTTGTAACAGAGTTAGCTTATATGCATTTAAGGTGCAGACAGACTTACTTTTGACTTGTTTTTCTGTATCTGAGCCAAACAAGGCCAAGTTAGAATCCTTCCAGTCGTACTGTTTTGGTTTCACTAAGGCTAACAAATAGAAATGATTTAAATTAATGTTTTCATAAATTTTCCAGTTCCCTACCAGTAACCTATGCATCTCAAAATAAATATATATATCTGGTTTCTTTTTCGTTACATATTAGTCCGAGATCGATCTGACGTTCGTCGGTCTGTTTTAGGGACTGGTTTAGCTGTCTGGCATCAAGAGTAGTATAAGTAGTATTCGACATGAATGAAAGATGTTGAGTATATGTCAGTGAGATGGCAAACCAACGACACATTGGATTAGGCATATGCGCACATAATTGAAATGAATTGATTTGGTGTATGACATTAAAACACATAGGCGGAAATGAAGTTTTTCTTTAGCCGTAAGTTTAAATTTCGGACCGTGGAATAACTAAATGTACGTAAAATAATTCATTGTGAAAGAGCACTAAACTCATATTACACTATAAAACACAGATACACGCAAAATAATACTAAATAAAACCATATGGTAAAGAAAGTTCACAATTACTGAAAACAAGTTCAAAGTTCTCAACCAGCTGATCAAGTTATATTTGTTTCAGTTTGCTGACAGATAAAAAAAAAAAAAATTTAAGCCCAAATACCTTACCCATTTTTGTTTCTCTTCCTATTCGTTAGATCTCGTATCTGAAACAAACAAAAATTATTAAAGAGGAGGATGTTTGTCAATGTTTCCGGGATTAATACGTTATTAAAAAATCATTTTATTTGATTTTATGTCACGTATTGATCTTGACGGTTAACCTAGGAAGTCAATCGCACATGATGTGAAATAATGTCAGTGACAAGGATGCAGTGTTTTTTCAAAGTTATCTTACAACTCTGCTTTGGCATTATGCATTAAAGGAGGTGTGGGTTTAAGTCGATGAAGCAGCGACCCAAATAAGCATAACTGACATCTAGATCTCATAATAGAGCTTTCAACAATAGATAGGTGTTTCTTTACAATATATCAAGCTCTAAATCGACTCTAGTAAAAAAAAAAGATTGTGAAAAATAAACAAAAACTTTAAACTCGGGTAATGTTATTTCTTTTAACATTTATGAATAACTTTATCAATGCAAAATTCGCATTAAAGCCCACATGTGAAATATTTATCAAAACAGTGATATAAAAAGAACGACATATAGATGCTTCTCTATCTATGTACAGGCAGATTACAGTAACTTGGTTAGTTGGTTTTTTTTTAATTTGTATCCCAAGTTTCCCTTTTCCATCTCGATCGGCAACATAGAGAATTCACTTGAATTGTTACTCAGTCAAACTGTACTACAATTATGGATAATTTGTAGACCGACGCCATATCGATTGCTTCCCCTTGTGCCATTTATTAGCATTGTTAAACTGAAACCAATATTTAAAGTTTTCCATGAATGTTCAATCTGTTTCTGTTTATTTGATAATATTATATAAATAACCCGTAAGATCGACGACGGTTTTATATTTAATAAAGTAGATATATGCAATTCGATTCGCTTTTCTGGCGTTTCATAAAAGTCAAGCTACTGTAACTCTTTTTTCTTTCAAAATCTAGAAACAGGAAGTTTTAACTCGTATTACGTATGTCACAAAATTCGTAAGGGTTCCGCGGAACCCAGTGTCTCGCCTACTTTTACAGTTAATCGCAGGCTCAACAAAAATGAGATGAGGAAAAAAATTAATAAAAATATTCCTCTCGATACAATTTTTTTATTGTAAGAAGCTTCTGTCCAAGTTTGGTAAAAATCCAGGATAGTTTATGAATCTAATAAATGTTTTTAAAAATTTAACTGCAGACTGTATGTAATGTTAACTGGAAGAAAAACTAAGTCAATTTATAAGTAAAATATGGATGAACAAGTACAAAATTTTAATAAAAATTTCCTTCTAGATACTAGCTTTTGATCATAAACAAACTTCTGTCCATGTATGGTACAAATCCAGGATAGTTTAAGAAAGTTATTAAAATTTTAAAAACTTTAACCACAGAGTGAATGTAATGTTTCCTGGCAGAAAAACTAAGTCCATTTTTAAGTAAAATACGGAAAAACAGGAATTTTTTTTTTTAAATTTACTTCTGGATACTATCTTATGATCATAAACAAGCTTCTGTCCAAGTTTGGTAGAAATCCAGGATAGTTTGAGAAAGTTATTAAAATTTTAAAAACTTTAACCACAGAGTGAATGTAATGTTTCCTGGCAGAAAAACTAAGTCCATTTATAAGTAAAATACGGAAAAACAGGATTTTTTTTTTTTTTTATAAAATTTACTTCTGAATACTATCTTATGATCATAAACAGGCTTCTGTACAAGTTTGGTAGAAATCCAGGATAGTTTAAGAAAGTTATTAAAATTTCAAAAACTTTAACCACAGAGTGAATATTTGTGGACGCCGCCGACGACGGAATGTAGGATCGCTATGTCTCGCTTTTTCGACAAAAGTCGAAGGCTCGACAAAAATGGCTGAAGAATTACAAAACTGATGTTTGAGAATAGCGGTTGGTGTTTGAGCATTTTGGCATTTGCTTTATTGTTTTTTCATGTCTATGTTTGTTATGGTATATATTGAGTAGTTTACTTTCTGAAAGTAATGCCCGTTGCATCTGGTACCAAGGTGGGTCGAACTGTTTTCAACGACAAAAAGATGTAAGGTTAGATGACAGGGAGTGTGAACAGGTGAACTGCGTATAAAACACAGAGAAACTATGCAACAAAACTTACTAAACAGTCAATAAATAAATACTTCCTAGAACCGTGCACAGCCCTAAGTCGAAAGACTTTTGCCAACTGTAAGAATTTCTAACAAACAAAGGATGTACCAGCCTAAAAGAAACCATACTTTACGAAGAAAGGAAAATCATAACAAACCAACAAGATATATTTGAGATATTTAACAACTTTTTTGTAAATGTAGCCAAAAATATTGGTAACAACAGCACACAGGTTAACGAAAAAAGAGTATAGAAGCCATCACACAAAAATACTCGGATAGGTCAACATCGAATGAAATGATTTTCCAACCTGTAGATGAAGAGTTAGTATCTAAGAATATAAGTAAAATAAATGAAAAAAAGGCGACTGGTATATAGATGGTATATCACCAAAACTACTACACTATGCAAAACATGATGTGGTTAAACGTAAATTTTTCAATATCTAATTCTATTTTTCCAGACTCATTAAAAATTTGTCAATTGGCGCCTTTTCACTCTGGAATCTGTTATCAAACCCTTAGAGGAAGATAGTAACTCTCTTATATCATGGTTCTCATCCAACAAAATGGAAGCAAACCAAGTAAAATTCCAGACAATCGCAATAGGCTTAAACACATTCACATTCTACCTTACAGCTCTTTTCATAATGCTAGCAAGACAAAGGTTTGTTTGACTTGCTTGCTTTGTTTGTATAAATGTTTGCTCAAGCATTGTAATTAAGATTGCCATCTACAAACAATATAAGTAGGCGGAGTTAAACTTGTGTTTAGGTAAATTTGATTATTTAATAATGTCCAATCAAATTTAAATATAATGTATACAAGTTTAAATCCGCCTTTTTATGTTGTTTTCAGATGTCAATCTTAATTATAATGCTTGAGCAAACATTGATACAAACAAAGCAAGCAAGCCAAACAAACCTTTGTCTTGCTAGCATTATGAAAAGAGCTGTAACAGAATAAGTATTCAGTGTGATGATGAGGTGAGACTTCTTGGTGTGAGCAAATTTCAAAACAAACATCTCAAACATTTGTAAAAAAGCTGCACGACAACTAAATCAAAAACTAAAAACTAAATTAAAATACAGATCCTGTGTTCAAGCTTTGAAAACAAGACAAGACCGAGCACTAAGATTTATTAACGAAGACTTCAAAAGTTCTTACAACACTCTACTTGAACAATCTAAACTACCAGCACTAGAAATCCAAAGGATGAGAAACATAACATTAGAGACATATAAAATAGTAAATAAATCAAGTCCGGATTTTTTTACATACTTTTATTACCATCAAAGAAAATGCATATACTTAAAGGTAGTAAGCTGATATACCACGACCGAACACAACAAGGTGTGGTAAGAATAGCTTTGGTTACGAGACAGCAAGATTATGGAACTCCTTGCCTAATGAAACAGGGATTGTATCAACTTTTAACCAGCTCAAAAATTTTATTCTGGTGTTTTTCAGAAAATTGTATCTGTAACCCATGCAAATAATGACATTCCTTGTTGCCCCGTAGCTAAACTTTAAAGCCAGCTTGAGCTTTAAGTATCTTCATTTGTCGTTTTTTTATTTTAAAACTTGATATGTAATTGTTTGCTTTTTAGCTATAACTAATAAGCTATTAGTGCTTTATATTTGCATGTGTGGTTTGTATTGACACCTTGTGTTTAATTGTTTGTATGGTTTTTTTTATTTGAACATGATGATCTGCTCTTTATATTGCATGTGCTTTGTCTGTAATGATATGCCTTTAATGTGTTTTATATGTATATGTTGATTTGCTTTATATGTTGCATGTGCTGTGTATTTATTGATATGTGCTGCTTGTATTGATAGTATGAGCTGCATTAGTATCTGTTACTATTCAATGATTAGTCCTGTTGTTATTATATATCAGTCGGTTAACAGGTTGGAGAAGATCCTCATAAATGGGAACTATCACCATTTATAAGTATTATATCCAAAATCCTGTATCAATTTACACTGATAAAAAATTGAATTTGTATTTCATCATAATGGCTGTCAATTTTGTATTTCATCATAAAGGCTGTCAATTTTGTATTTCACCATTATGGCCGTCAGGGTGGCTGTCAGTTTTGTATTTCATCATAATGGCTATCATGGTGCAATATTCACATACATAGCAATATTTTTCCATTTAAGACCATTGTTCAAACAAGAACTGATTACAAAGATAATGGCCTCCGAAAATCCCACTTTTTGAAGGCTATGTATTCTCTTTTATCCAGATGATATTTCAATCATGGCGTTTATGGTAAATCGTGTTATTATACAGTTATATGAATATATATGTTTTATGTTATATGAATGTTTGTGCCATTACAGCTAATATATTGAAATCCAAAGTCTATGTTTTTATCACTGAAAATTGAAATCCGTTTTGGGTATATGATATTTCCCTACCTGTTGAAGAGCTATAAAAAGCTCGTTTCTATGTTGATTGTATACTAAGTATATAATAAACTGTTATCACAGAGATATGTCTCGCTTTTTTGTAATTTCGATAATGCAAATGTTGAAATTAAAATAGCAACACTTTAACATGTAAGTTTTGCAAATATTCAAAGTCAATAAACCATGACTGAAAGTAAATGGCTAAACAAGCTCCTTGGAAATGAGATGTGCCAATGCTAATACAACTGCATACCAAATACCATTGACTTATCATAAGTAGTTCTCTTTAAACAAACATAAACACAAACTAGTACATGTAAACTAAGCAAAATTTCAAAGTCAATTAACCATAACTGAGGGGGCGGGGTCAAATAATCTCCATGGTAATGAGATGTGCCAATGCTAATACAACTGCATACCAAATATCATTGACCTACCATTCGTGGTTCCCAATAAACCGACTTAATCACGAACTAATACATGAAAACTAAGGAGAAGTTTCAAAGTCAATAGACCATGACTGAGGGGGCGGGGCCAAATAATCTCTAGGGAAATGAGACATGCCAATGCTTATACAACTGCATACCAATTATCATTAACTTACCACTAGTGGTTCCCCATAAACTGACCTAATCACAAACTAATACATGAAAACTAAGCAAAAATTTCAAAGTCAATAGACCATGACTGAGGGGACAGGGCCAAATAATCTCCATGGTTATGAGATGTGTCAATACTAATACAACTGCATACCAAATATCTTTGACTTACCACTAGTGGTTCACCATAAACTAGACCTAATCACAAACTAATACATTGTTGACGCCGCTGCCGCCGCCGACGCCGGAAACAGTATACCTATGTCTCGCGGCTTTTTGACTCCGTCAAGCGAGACAAAAACCTGACTTTAAATAAAGATTACTTACTTTCTGACAGTTTTAATACCTTTTCTATTATTACTTTCTGTTTAAAAAACACTATTTAGAGGCTCTTGTATACCGGCAATTGCTTTCCAATCTATAAATTAGCCTACATGAATGACGGTCTTCTAACAGAATTGCACCAATCACTTAAATGGGATATGATGACCCGTTTGGGGAAATAATATCTCAGATTGCGTTAAAATTTACAATTTAAAACGTTACGAATTGATCGAAATCATACTTAAAAGCGTATGTGTTTGGATCAATAGTAGCAACTACTTAAACGTTTGGTTAAAAATTGCAAAATTATTCCTCAGAAAATCTATATAACCTAAAATTTCCGGAGGGATCTATCTCACTAAATTTGTTCCGCATAACAGAAATTCCTCTGGAAACTTTGTTATAACAATGCTATAATATTTGTTCCTGTTTGAATAATATTATGTACCCTTTGTTCCGTTCGGAACAAATACTGTTAAGATTTTTTTAGTGGAAATAATATTCCAGAATATTTGTTCCGTTTGGAACTAATATAACGAAAGAACTTATATTTTATGACAAGGTATCCAGATAAGTTGCTTTCGATAAGTTGTTGTTTATCTTTTTAATATTTTCCCCAATGAAAGCAATATTTTAAGCACAGCAAACTTATCGTATTTTGGATATTTTATTCCATTTGGGTAATTACTCTCAACTTCAAATACATGATCTTCGGTTTAACAATTTTCATAATGTATCAGGAAATATAAACAAAAAAGAAGTTAGCACTGGCACCATTATGGTGACCACTTGTTCCATATGAAAATCAATAAACTGAGACAGAGACTTATAATACTTATAGGTCTCTGACTGAGATAAGCATTGTGATCTAATTGATTAAAGCATACCAAAATGTGCATCCAGCGTACTTACAGTTTTGATTCCGTTGGACTTCTGATGTCAAAATCTAAATACGCCAATATATACAACTGACAATTGCTCAATAGCAAAAAGGTTGTTTCGAAATGTTACAGAAAATCATTCAATGCGTGCACTATGAACCAAAACAAATCATCCCACAGGTAAGATATTTAAAAAGTTACCTGTGAAAAGTATCTGAACAGGTCAAGGTATTGGGTTATTTTTAAAAAGTATTCATGCTCAATTTGAATTGTGATTATTTGTCATTTTGTGTTTGTTTTAACATGTACATGTTTACAAAATGTGTTTAAAGAGTAATGTATCCTTACAAATTCGAATGTAAGGCATGAGTAAGACTTGTTAAATATAAACAGGATGTTAACTAAATGTGGTTTTAAACGATACTTTTAATTTTTAATTATCATTTGTTACATATAGCGGTTCAATCAATATCCTATTTTCCAGTTCTAACGGATTAAATTTTCTGCGAAAAGTGATTCATATACATTATTCAAATGTGCATTCATGCATTGTCATACATTGTATAAACCAAATATTTACTCGGAATTGAGATCTAAAAATCTAGAAGGAATTTTCGAAAAATCGGAAATGTAATTGAACAATAGATATAATCTGGCCGGGACTATTATATTAAGATGTAATGAATGATTCAATACAATCAAGAATGCTATCATAGACACCAAGTTGTCACTGCAGTACACCTTTTCTTTATTATTCACATGCTTTGAATTCTCGTGTTTATCACAAAATAACTGTTTTAAAGTCTATTTATAGTACACAAAAATCGCAACTGTCTATATTAAAAGAACTCTCCATCATTATGTGCCACACTTAATAAGAGGTAGGTCAAATTTCCCCAGAGTTGATTTCGCAGCAGACTGATATTTTCAAAAAGTCTCCAAATCTTACTTAAATACCTAGTGTGTACTTTGAGGTTATAATGGCTTATTTCTAAACACGAACAAAGTAAGAACGCCTGAAGATAGCTCAAACCACAATTTTTACAGGTTTTGGCAAACTTTGAGTATTCATCCAAAAAAATGCTTAATCAAACTGACCGAAATTCTATTTGAAGCAAAATTGAAAGCTACATATTTTTTTCAAGTTAAGGTCGCCTGGGTTAGCTTTCAACCAATTTCCAGGCATAGTAAACCTCTTTTTAAAATCAGGTTCTTTCAACCCTCTGGACCAATCACTACAACCATCTTTAGGGTGTGATTACACGGAAAGGTCTACATGGGCTATCGTTACTATAAATACGATATACATGTTTAAAAATAGTATTGGAATGTTTACGGACGAACTAAATTTATAAAGAATTAATTCTTTTCTTATCACAGGGTTGATACAAAAGTATGGTCATATAACAGGGGGGATCCAGCCATTTTTAAAATGGGGTTCCAACCCAGGATAAAAGGGGGGTTCCAACCATATGTTCCCATTCAAAAGCATTGATTTTACATTTTTTTGAAATAAACCAAGGTTCTAATTGCCTGAGGCAAAGTTTACCTTATATGAATTCTTTTTATTTATAGATCCCTTGCTGTAAAATATTTTGGTTTGAGCGTTCCTAGAAAATCGCTTCAAACGCAATAACTTTATAAAGTGTTGTTTTCATTTAATAACACTGAGTGGATACCCATGCTGGTGGCCTCACTGTTAGTCCCGGAGGGTAGTCAGTGCTTCGTTACTGACATGATTCATAACATTCTTATGAATTTGGCTATATTTGTAGGTATATATAACGTTTTTGCGTACTTACATCGCTTGCTTTCAAATATTTTGCTTATTACGACCTTTGCAATGCAATCTGAATATACCATGAAAGACAAGCCTAGGTATACAGTTTTTTTTTCAGAATAAGGTTCCAAAGCGTCTTTTATTGGATTTCTGAAATAGTTTTTTTTTCAGAATAAGGTTCCAAAAAGCATACTAACATGTTTGTTTTTGTCAGAATTATTACTGTAACCTACAGGTGGGTGTTAATGGGGTTTTAATTAATTTACTTAGCACAGGGACAGTCTATACTAAAGTATAGACTGTCCCTGCTTAGCAGGATCTTTGTTGTGAATTTATTTTTCTTCCTTTAATGGTTTTGAAATTGCTCCGTAATTAGTTTCTGTTTAATATGAATGCACTAGAAAGGGGTATTGCAAATTATGTAACGCAAATCAAACATGTAATTCACAGAAATGAGAAATGAAAAAGGTTTATAGACGAAATTCTATCTTTATGTAATGCATTGTTTACAAACATTGAATAGTTCACTGTTGGAACTAATTTATTAATGTGTGAAATTACAGACATATAATACAATATTATTACAGACATATAATACAATATTGTATTATATGTCTCTGGTGAAATATAACCAAATTTAAACATCCTATTTCTCTTTTTATCTAAAGATCGAGGATCGGGAGAGGATGTCTCCTAGGTTTTTTTGTTGTTGTTCTGAAATATTAAGCTTTATACAAAATGTAAACGCCATTACACTCAGCAGACTAGGATTCCGTCTCACAGACAAGGGAAAAAAATGGTAAAAGCAGCAACAAACCTGATAAAAACATACACACTGTTAGTGTATATATAATTTTCATTATTGTGTCCTGATTCCGCCACTTTGTAAAGTAATTCATTCATGCCATTCAAAGCATCTTTACTACACCGATGAATAAAAAATGGACCAGCTTGAAGTCTCAGTGCACAGTATTTTGAAGATGATAATTGTATGTGCATATTCGTGAATTAATCTGTTGTTTGTAAACTTGTGCATTCAAATTCTTGGATAGGAAAAATTCTTTTTATAACATTAATAAACATTGGCTTTTAATGTAATCTGGGACATAGTATACTATTCCAAGATGTAATTAAAGTAGAAAATTCAAGGAATTTCTTTTTCTGTGCAGTGCACTTTCTCACTTCGTTACATGCAACTTCGTTGAAATTACCTATTGTTGAATGACACCAGATTGAAAATACAGGATGAATGTAGAGAAAAGAGGCATGGATAAAAAGTTTATTAAAGATATTGAAAATTAAAGTTTTTAAGCACATCAAGATTTCACACATATTGAAAAACAGGAAGAAAATAAAATTGACAATGGAAATGGGGAACTTCTTTGCAGATGTCCAACAGATCCAAAAAGTTATCACACATTTCTGCAAAGCTGCTGACTAAATATGAAGTCATTCTGTTCATTAGCTCTTGAGAAAATATTGTGATGCAAATATTTGTTGGATGAACAGACTACATGTATGTGAATGCTAGTGTGGGGGTATTAAAAATTGTTCCTTTGGGGGTCTTTAAATGCAGAGGCTTCAACCAATGTTACAATTCATAGAGATGGCTTGACAACCATCTTTTATAAAAAAAAAAACAAAAACAAGGAATGAGCTGTCAAATTGACAGCAAACTGGGTTTTCTTTATTTTGAAAGGTGCTTTCAGGCTTTTTGACCTGACACACTCTATGCCTATTTTCCAATCTATCAAGAACCATAACTCCTCAGATGAGGATCCAGGATTTCCAAAAAAAGTAAGGGGGGACAAACTAGACAACATTTGGAGTGGAACTGTATTAACCATAAATGTAGCTCAATAAAGGGGGGACTCCCTCCCTTAAATCTACCTCCTCTGCTCCTGAACAGCAAAAATGAAAATCCATGATATCAAACTTGACCACCATTTTTTCATCAGTAACAGCATATTAAAGTTTGAAGAGCATCGGTTGAAGAAGTACATAATTGCACGGAAACATCATAAAATGCCATTTTTCAATCTATCAAGAACCATAACTCATTGAAGACAAATGACAAAATCATTAATATCTACCCCAGTTCCATTTTTCCATCAGTAACAATATATTAAAATTTTAAAACCATTGGTCAAGTGGTTCAAAGTTATTGCATAGAAACGATAAAAAGTGCCATTTTTCAATAGAATAAGGACCATAACTCTGAACAGTAAAAGTGAAAATCATCAATAATAAACTTGACCTCCATTTAGTCATCAGTAACAACATATTACAATTTGAAAACCATAGGTAGAAGGGTTCATAAGTAATTGAACAGAAACGACAAAAAGTGCCATTTTTCAATAGATCAAGAACCATAACTCTGAACAGTAAAAGTGAAAATCATCAATATCCAACTAGACCTCCATTTTGTCATTAGTATCAACATATTAAAATTCGAAAAGCATTGGTAGAATTATTCATAAATTATTGCATAGAAACTGTTGGCAGCCGCGTGCCTGCCCATCACCCACCTGCCAAAACAACTTTAGAGAACAACAAATCAATGATTTATTAATGTCAGAGGACCCCTTGCTTGTCAAAACTTGATAAGATATTTTTAGTTGACAACATTCAAGCAATACATTCCTGGGACAAAAAGTAAATATTCATTGTCTACTATACTTGTCAGCTTGTAGAGATTATTCAGTTATTCAGATTATTATGTCACAAAAGTCTTACTACAAGATCACCGAATCAAGAATTTATCAGATATTTAATACTTCAATTTTGTATCTTGGCATTTTTGTATGTATAAATTCACAGCCACATCTGGTATGATTATGATACAGTTTAACTACCCTAACAAAAGGGTAAATAGGCTGTTAGGGATAAATACATACACTGCTACATTCTGCATAATCATGATAATGTTGAATACCTTTACAACTAAATCTTGATTAGTGTTGTTAAATATTTTTAGTTCTAACTTATGTCAAAGTGAAACTGTTTACCACTTTTAGCAGAATTTTAAATTAAAAAAAATGTTTTTTTACCTACAGTTTACTAAACAGTAGATTCTTGTTCTGTTTTATAGCTATTTAAATTATGCAAGTGTTATTATGTGTATTGTTTATGAATATACGGTAGCATATTCATATATTGTATTCATGTGAATGTACTTATCAAGAAGGTAAGATTCTGAAAGCAGGTGAATATACTTCAAGAAAGGACTGAACAAATTTTAACTTAAATTGTTTATTTCTGTAAATTTTTGTTTCAAAAATACAGCACCAAATTGCAATGAAACAACAGATTACAAACTTACTTTGCATAGACAAAATATTTTTTCAGGATAAACTGGTTTTATATACATCTACTGTCAACTTTGAAATTAATTTACCAACTCAACAAGCCTTTGAAAATGGATACTGGCTAATTTCATGACAATTCTATGTTTAAATGTATGTTAAGGTTTTTAAAATCTAATAAAGGATAAAAATATCTAAATTATCATTACCAATTAGCTACAAGACATTGTTTAATTAAGTTGCAGTATTAAATGCAATAAAGTTTCTCAATACATACTTCAAATTCCATACATGTGCAAATGTTTAAATCAAACATTTAATTCACAGAAATGAGAAATAAGAAGATTCATAAACAATCTATTTGTAGCGCACTGTTATCAAAAACAAAATATGTATTTCATCAATAATTCTAAATAAATCTGAAAAATAATAATACATGTAAGTCTTATCTCAAACACCATTTTGACAGACAAAAGATCTATTTTATTTTTTTCTTCAAAAAAGTACAGAAATGAACTTCCCACTACTAATTACTACTATTAAATCATATTGCACTATTGAATTAATACAAAAGTAGAAATAAATAATCATAAAAAAAAGTTTGTTACAAATAACTGATATTCACATCTCTAATGCATTTCTAATATTCTTTCACAGTAGTTTAGTTTCATTTAAATGACGAAAAAACTATTTAATTGTCAGTAGATGATTGGTTCATATAAAAGATAAAACATTGAAATTCATTAATCTTTACTTCTAAAGTTAAAATAATGGCAAGTATTGAAAAATTAAACAGAATATATATTTTCCAATTTAGTTTTTCTGTAAATTTAGATTCTTCTGATCAGTAAGATACATATCACAATATATAAACACAGGTAGAATGCGTAGAAATGTGCACAAATTTGGTCCAGTAGTAAATAATAAAAAAAAATAACTAGAAAACAAAACAATAATAAAGTCAATGTAAGAGCAGCTGTTCTTCAAAGACAAAGCCTAACAAAAAAATGTTGTATTAAGAGTCAAGTGTAAATCAGAGAAATATGCATGAACATTTTGGATTGCATATATTAGAATCTTAGCAGAAAAAGCCTTAAATTGCTACATATTTCTGCCATTTATATGCATACAGTTAACTAAAACAATGTTACAACAACAAAATAGGGTAAGCAAATGTATTTTACTTTTATATGTAAATAATGATTATAACAAACATTAATCATAATACCTCTTAAGGCCTAACATGTCACATCAACTATATAAGATTGATTACAACTGATGGAAGGAGCTCAGGTATGATACCTCTTAAGGCCTAACATGTCACATCAACTATATAAGATTGATTACAACTGATGGAAGGAGCTCAGGTATGATACCTCTTAAGGCCTAACATGTCACATCAACTATATAAGATTGATTACAACTGATGGAAGGAGCTCAGGTATGATCCCTCTTAAGGCCTAACATGTCACATCAACTATATAAGATTGATTACAACTGATGGAAGGAGCTCAGGTATGATACCTCTTAAGGCCTAACATGTCACATCAACTATATAAGATTGATAACAACTGATGGAAGGAGCTCAGGTATGACACCTCTTAAGGCCTAACATGTCACATCAACTATATAAGATTGATAACAACTGATGGAAGGAGCTCAGGTATGATACCTCTTAAGGCCTAACATGTCACATCAACTATATAAGATTGATAACAACTGATGGAAGGAGCTCAGGTATGATTCCGGTAGAATAGCTGGGGCCTTTCAAAAAAAAACCCTTATTAAGGACAGGGGTGCATTCCCAAAAATGTAATGTTCCCAAACCCACTCATCAAAGTTTGAATCTTTATTATATGCACATCACTTACATGTCCATTGACTTATTCAATTCTGAGTATACCCTATACAGGAAGTAGAATCCAATAAAACAAATGTGTAAATGATTGATGACAAAGTTAAGATTCAATCAAGGATATATATAAAAAAAAATCCAAATAAAGGTCTTGCTATACAAAATTCCCATATGACCTGATGAGGGCCCATTCTATACATTGGTAAAATCATTCCTGGAGATACATTCCTCAAACTTTTGTGACAATCTACTAGTAATCAGGATGGATCATGTCTGACATCATATAAATATAAATTTTCAAATTAAATAGTCCTGCTCATGTAATGTTGAAATAAATAATCCTTGAAAAATATATTAATGAACAATAAAATTTCTCATCCTAAATATAAGTCTTAATAATAACCTTATGTTAGTTTTTGAGACAAAACATGTTATGCCCATATCTTAGAAAAGGGTGGTTAACAACAAACAATAATTTATGTGCTAACTAATGCAAAAGCATCTATATTGTGGTATATTGTTTATACAGTGGCAAGAGTTTATGCTGATAATGCTACTTCAATTCTGTCTTTTCCTACTTTTTCGCTGACAACAGAAACTGGTTTATAATGACGAGCTTTGTCCATCAAGTATTTCTGCAATTACACAAAAATGCTATATAGATAATTGTGTTGGGTTTAAAAATATGTCATACTAACATATCTATTAACAAATTTTTACTTATAAGGCTTTATTTAATTGTCTGCTCTAATATGATGATTATGGACTTTTCGCCTCAATATAAGACATTCAAATATGAAAAATTATAAGCTAGTTAAATGAATTTGTGAAAAAGATTGTCATGAAGGCATGCATCATAAAATTTTTCTAGTTAAAAGTAACATTAATTTCATTGCTATATGAATTTATTTCATTTGAATAATAAAATGCTCCGCTGGGCGCAGCTTGATACGACCTCAGAGGTCGAACCCTGAACAGTAGGGGGAAGTATGGACACAACATTCAAGCTTGATACAGCACTGAATTTGGGTTGTGATTAAATATTTGACACAGCATAGGTTTCTGACACAGAATGAATGTGGTCTAAGAACTTAAAAATTTTTAATTTACCTATTCAAACAATATCATTATTATTTGCTTTTATATATAAATCAGAAATAACCAATTTAAAATGGAAAATTTTAAAGAAAAAAAAAGGAAAAAAAGGAAAAAAAAATCCCCCCCCCCAAATTTTTTGAACCCCTTTATGATTCATCACCCCCCAAACTCAATCCCAGCCTTCCCTTTGTGGTATGGTACCTTGCAGTACAATTTCAGAGAGATCCATACACTTGAACACAAGTTATTGTCTGGAAACTAGAAAAATGCTTGTTTTTAGGCCCCTTGTTTGCCCCAAATTCCTAAACGTTTAGGGCAATTGACCCCCAAACTCAAACCCAGCTTTCCCTTTGTGATATAAAACCTTGTAGTACAATTTCATAAAGATCCATACACTTACACACAAGTTATTGTCCTGAAACTAGAAAAATGCTTGTTTTTTGCCCCTTTTTGGCCCCTAATTCTAAAAATTTTGAGGCAATTACCCCCAAAATCAATCCAAGCCCTCCCTTTGTGGTATGGTACCTTGCAGTACAATTCCAGAGAGATCCATACACTTGAACACAAGTTATTGTCTGGAAATTAGAAAAATGCTTATTTTTGGCCCCTTATTCCTAAACATTTTGGGCAATTACCCCCAAACTCAATTCCAGCTTTCCCTTTGTGATATGGAACCTTGTAGTACAATTTCAGAAAGATCCATACACTTGAACACAAGTTATTGTCATAAAACTAGAAAAATGCTTGTTTTTTGCCCCTAATTCCTAAAATTTTGAGGCAATTACCCCCAAAATCAATCCCAGCATTCCCTTTGTGATATGGAACCTTGTGGTACAATGTCAGAGAGATCCATACACTAACACACAAGTTATGTCTGGAAGTTACAAAAATGCTTATTTTTGGCCCCTAATTCCTTAACTGTTGGTACCATAACCCCCAAAATCAATCCCAACCTTCCTTTTGTGGTATTGAACCTTATGGTAAAATTTCATAGAGATCCATTGACTTAAACTAAAGTTAGAGTGTGAAAACCAATGTGTCTTCAGACGACGACGACACCAACGTCATACCAATATACGACCTCAAAATTTTTTAGCGGTCGTATAAAACTTACATGAGCATATCCCATTCCATTTCTCCTTTCGTCCACAGAAGCTTTACCTCCGACCCAAACAAATAGTTCACTCTTGGTGTCAAGAACAAACACATCCTGTAAATTATATAATACTACATTGGATTTTAGAGCACATATCACAATGAGGTTGTTCCTCATTGTCAAATAGTATCTATTTTACTGTCTGAATTCAATAATGGTATTTGGGGGATCGCAATAAAATATCATCAGTTTTTGGTGGGGTTCGTGTTGCTCAGTCTTTAGTTTTCTATGTTGTGTTTTGTGAACTGTTGTTTGTCTGTTTGTCTTTTTCTTTTTTAGCCATGGCATTGTCAGTTGATTTTCGACTTATGAGTTTGTATGTCCCTTTGGTATCTTTCGTCTCTCTTTCAATAAAATGAAAAGAATAAAAAACCTTAAAGACAATCAGACACAGAAAATTATAGGGTACACAAACCGACTGAAAAGGTTTGAACTCAGGTCTCTTGAAAGGTTAATAGGTCCTGCTCTCCTATTGACATACATCTGTGATAAGGCATCATACAGTAAGTGTCTTTTGTCAACATTTAAAACATCTTGTAATTATATACAGGTTCATGTATATTGTAGAACTAATGACTATTGCATCATAAAATAAACACTGCAAGATTGAAGTGGGCATTCAAGGTCATAGTAGTCATACTACCAAATTCACAAGTTATTGGTACATGTCAATTCTCTGACCTCAATATAGGACCATCAGGTTGATACAAGTAATTTATACAAAAATGATCTTTTATCAGTAAAATATATGACACCTGTTTCACTGCATATATATAAACTGGCATGCTCAATGATCGCAATTAATAGGTACAGAATATTTTCTCAAATAATCTAACATTTAAAATAAAAAATTACTTTGTTTTTATCATTTCCATGTAATTGAAGACATTCAAACCTAACTGAAATACAAACAAAGATATTGGTTTCTTCAATTTAAGGAATTCATATTTAAATTAGGAAGTAACACTACTCGAATAAATCAACCATAGATAGTACTATGTCAATTTTGACAAAAAAATGAAAAGTTTGAGCTTCTTGTCCTTTTTGTTTTATATTCTCAAGATATTTAGCTCAGTGCTCACAAAAAATATTTGTGCCAGTCAAACATTTTTTGACTTATCCCGATTTTAATCCCTTAAGACTAAGTAACAAAAGGCAATCATGCTAATCAGTTGGGCATCATATAAACAATGATTGACAAAAAAATATTAAACATGACTTTTGATACAAATTAGATGTACTGACGTAAACTGTTAAATTGACAGTTCATCAAGGTATCAATGATAAATTCAGCATTTTTGAAGAATTCGGATGCATATTTAATATTTAAATCTAACAACTGCACAAAAATCAATCATTATTCGTACATTACTATTAGATATCATTTATCCTTCTATCTTGATTGACTGATTACTGCCTACTCAATACTTACATCTTCTCCAAGATCCTCCATGGCTACATCACCAGTCTTTACTTCTGAGAAATTTATGGATCCTCCAGCATCTGACAATCTGAGAAAAATATTTAGTTATGGTTATATTTGATATTGATGTATACAATTATCATATCAATTAAATAAACTGCTGACACAGAGATATGTCTCGCCTATTGGCTTAAAATTCAGAAAACGACAATCTGATGGACATCAACATTGCTAACTAATTCAAAGTCGCTAGACCATGAACTAGTGGGAAAGGCCTCAAAATGGTTGACAAATTGACATGAACAGACAGCAATGTAACTTTATGGAAAATATTGTTGCCTATTGTAAGTATTTCCTATCAAACTAACTTAAGCAGAAAACTTAACATTAAAAATTGTTAATTAATTGAAAGTCACTGGACCATGACCTAGGGGGCAGGGCCTAGAAATAGTCATCAACCTGATATGTACTGTTAGTAATGCAACTTAATAGAAAATATCACTGATCTATCACAAGTAGTTCCTATCAAACTGATTTAAGCAGATAACTTAACATTGAAAAATGCTAATTAATTCAAAGTCTCTGGACAATGACCTAGGGGGCGGGGCCTCAAATAGTCGTCAAACTGATATATACTTATAGTTATGCAACTTTATAGAGAAAAAATAAATGGGGAATGTGTCCATAGGACACAGATGATGCCCCCGCTTGCATATCATATAGTTATAAAGGGATAGAACTGAAGAACGGTAAAAGTGATGCTACCCAAATTTGTACTTGATCTGAGTTTTGCAGTAATAAGTATTGTGTATAAGTTTCATAACATTTGGTTGAGGCAAACTTAAGTTAGAGAATGGATACGAAAAATTCAGCTATTTTTCCATTAATAAAGGGGAATCTAGAACAGTAAAAGTGACACCACCAAAATTGATCTGTACTTTGTGGTAACAAGCATTGTGTATAAGTTTCATAACATTTGGTTGAGGCAAAATAAAGTTATAGAACGGAAACGAAAAATTAAGCAATTTTTCCATTTGTAAAGGGGCATAACTCTAGAACGGTTAAAGTGACGCCACCAAAATTCAAACTTGATCTGTGTTTTGTGGTAATAAGCAATGCGTATAAGTTACATACAAAACATTTGGTTGAGGCAAACTAAAGTTAAAGAATGGAAACCAACTTTGGGACGTACGTACGTACAGACGGACAGACAAGGGTAAAACTTAATCATAAATATCACTGATCTCTCACAAGTAGTTCCTATCAAACTATCTTAAGCAGAAAACTTAACAATTGTTGATGCCAATTACAACAATGTTATCTTTGTCAGCGGAAAAGCAATCCCTATGTCTCGCTTTCCGAGAAGGCGAGATAAAAAGCAGTAGAATATGAATTCTAAGGAATTTCTAAATATTCTTTGTTGTGTTACCTTTTTAACTCATGCCTCTTTTAGATATTGTTGACTCAAGTGTATAGTATATTGATTTAATGTTGAGGGTGTACAAGATTTATTTACCTTGTTAATCAAATTTGTATATTTTCTTAACACTATTACCCTTCCAAAGTGTTACTTTCAGGTATATTTATCATTTCCAACCTGCTATTTATCTATTTCTATAAATATTGTTTGGTTGCCTTTCATTGGTTGGAATAAATATTTGCAAAATCTATTTGCTGTTAATTGATGCTGTAAGGGGACAACAAACAACACACTAAAAGATCAAAATCTAAATTTCAATTAAAAATAGATTTGAAATCATTTGCATCACATAGTATATGAAATTTCTAAAATCAATATGGCTAAATCTACAAATGATTAAAACACTCGGCACACCTGACCTAACAAAAAAGTTGATTATTTTACTATCTGGAGAAGTGAAATATATGTATTTCATCACTTTGAAGCAAAAGTAAGATTTACCTCAACAGTTTTTTCTCATCATCACCCTCATCTTCATCATCAGAGTCCACCTCATCAGCATCCCCTTCTGGAATAGCTTCATAGAAACGATGCTATAATGGAAAATACTTTTTTTTTAGGTGACAAAATAACTTCCAACAGTAGGTTCCTTAAGAATATTAAAATCTACATGATGATAAAAAACCAATTGTTTCTAAGATATAACAATATACTGCTTCACAATAGTATTTCGGAACACATTCAATGCTTTTATCAGAAAGCTATAAATTTTACCCTTCAATTTTTTCAGAGTTATCTCCCTTACAACATGCTTTTAATAATTCATGTCAGTAAAAATATGTCTTCTCTTTTTCATCTCAACCAATATTTCAAGTAATATAGTTAACAGCTACCCTTTTTATTTTACATTTTAACAGCAGACATCTTGACATTAAATATAATAATTCACAGGTGTCAACCTTTCTAGGCACCAAAGTGGGAAATCTCCCATTCACAAAAATGTTTCTAGTAAAATTTAGAAATTTCCACAAATTTTAATATTGAAGCTCTTTTAAGCTATGTATAGCAAACAATAATAAATGCAAGTTACTGATTTTATTGTAGGAGGTAGTACTTTCTTAACAATTTGGGTCATCATTTAGCTATTTTACGAACATTGATGCACAATATGGAATAAGTCATATAACTATCATAAAAATAGTCAAATCAAAATCACAGTTCGATATGGTCGACTACAAAGAATGGCAAACAATCCTTCCAAGTATGACAGCTCTCTGTCAATTAGACTCAAAGGAGTTTCATTCACAAGATGACCCTTTTACAATACTCTAATAAATATTCAAAGTCCCATAACACCCATTAAAAATGATCAGCTTGAAAACATGGTATAATCTGGTCAATATCTCATGATTGTTTACAAGGTGTTGTTACAATACTTCAGCTAATGGTCAAAGTCCCATTACTCCCATAAAAATTGTCAAATCATACTGACTATATAGCATGGTGGGACAAAGATCATTACCATATCCCCCACAGTGTGACACACGGGAGATAACTATGATACATTCAAAATGTACTGTGACAAAATCTGAATAGAAGAAGATTCTAACTACTACATGGGGCATGGTCACAACTGGAAGATTCCAAAAACTTTTGAAAAAATATCAGAATGATCCTGTCGAAATCAAGAAAGCTGACACCTATGATATAATCTAAGAACACAGAAACACAACATATCATTTACCTCCAATAATTTATTACATGGTAAAGTTTAAATTATCATTTTTCAAGGCCATTCATTTACCTCTCATGTTTAAAGATAAAACAGTAAATACATGCAAAAAATGCAAGTCAAAATAATTTTTGCTTTCAGATTACGCACAGACTTTTTACTTAAAACATTTTATACAACAGGGTAAAATTGGTCTTGTGAAGAAAAGCAAGTTCAATTCTAGATGTTAACTTGAAATGTGATTTATTGTTAAGTTTCTGTTTCCTTTGAGTTTATGTTTCCATACAATATACTTTTGACAAAGAAATGTTTATATCATACCATTAAGAAACATCTATCCATGCTCAATTTAATTCTAAATATGTCATAACTTTAAAATGATTCAGTATAACCTTAATTAAAATGAACAGCTGCGACAAAAGTGCATAATATGCCCTTTTTGTGCATATTGAAATTGTTGCAAGATTAAAGTGAGATATTTTGAAGGCATTTAATCATAAGCTAAATACAATGGCTCTGTAGAAAAAAATTGCTGAGAATACCTTTTTTAAATTAAACAGTTTGTTATGTTCACCTATTATAACAATTATGAAACGTTTCTACTAAATCAGTCCAAGCAAATTCAGGGTTGGCGTTTTCAAACTAGTTTAACACCGCCACATTCTGTATATGCCTGTCCCAAGTCAGGAGCCTGTAATTCAGTGGTTATAGTTTGTTGCTGTGTAACCTATTTGTTTTTCCTTCATTATTCTGTACATAAATTAGACCATTAGTTTTCTCGTTTGAATTGTTTTACATTTGTCATTTCGGAGCCTTTTATAGCTGACTGTGCGGTATGGGCTTTGCTCATTGTTGAAGGCCATACGGTAACCTATAGTTGTTAATTTCTGTGTCATTTGGTCTCTTGTGGATAGTTGTCTCATTGTCAATCATACCACATCTTTTTATTTTTATATCAAGTTATGGTACAGACAGATGGGCTTTAAGCCGAAATATGTCTAGACTCCAACAGGCTTTTAAAATAGTACAAAAGAACCCTTCTTGTGACCACATCATCATATTGTCACATATTTCACATTTAGTTTGTAAATCCTTAGTTTATGATTAAACTCAGCAGTTTACTTTTAAACAAGATGTGTCTGTATGACAAGAATGCCCACATCAGCAGCCTTATTCTGAAAAAGTAGCTGTTATTCCTTCAAAACTAAAAAAAAAAAGGAAACAAACTAGTACAAAAATCAGCTCAAGATCTGTAGGCATTACAGAAAAGTCTGGACAATTACAAGTGCCTTCACTCTGTTAAAAGTTAGTCAACTGAAATGAAACACAAACTCCATCTATAAGTCTATCTCATACACTTATGTACCAAATATCTGATCAATATCTATTGGAACAAAGAAAAAAAGTCTGGACACACTGTTTGATTTTAGAATGACTGTAAGAAGTAATGACAGAAGGAAGGAAGGTCAAAAAGAAGGACATTGGTAACAATATTTGCTATGGCTACTAAAGGGTTATAAAAACAACTGTCAATGTGAAGACAAATGAGCAAAATATATTGTCACAAATGTAACCCTGTTTACACTATTGTCTATCTACTTGATACAATCACAATGCCAAAAGTTTTCAAGCAGGAACATAAGCTAAATAACTTGTCAATATAATTTCACTGAATGAATCTGTACACTTACAGCTTTGCTTATTCCACTCTCATCAAGAACTGTTGTGCTAGCTTTTGGTCTTTCTGATTCCATCTGTTGCAAGTATTCAGCTGCCTATTAAAGTAAATCAATGAAATTGTCCTCAAAACACTAGCAATAGTTTATAGTTCATATATTTCTATACTCAATACTTCCAACTTTCTCATATCTTACCAAAATATCCTTAGAATTATGTATAGTCCATTTGAGTTCTATATATCTTCATTAAAAATTATCAAAAATCTAATTCTTTATTTACCGGTACATTGCATATTTTGTAGTACATTTTTGTATTTATTTATGTATGTAGAAAATGAAAATTTCAACATCACAATTTAATGTTAGTTTCAAAAACTTTGTCAAAGTAATTAAAAGGTTGTCCATTAGGTCTATTGTTAAACAAAAACAGTGTTCTAATGTCCCCAGCCTTAGCACATATTTAATTAGTAGGTACTATTCCAAGAAGTTGCTGATATAAACCTATATGCCAAAAATTAGAAGAGATTGTATAAAAAATAAGGGATAAAAATTCAGCTACCATATATGAAATTTCGCTTTTTAAATATATATTTCAATAAAATGCTCCGCTGGGGCGCAGCTTGATACAACCGCAGAGGTCGAACCCTGAACAGTTTGGGCAAGTATGGACACAACATTCAAGCTTGATAAAGCACTGAATTTGGATTGTAATTAAATATTTGACACAGCATAGGTTTCTGACACAGAATGAATGTGGTCTAAGAACTTAAAAAATTTTAATTTACCTATTCAAACCATATCATTATTATTTGCTTTTATATATAAATCAGAAATAACCAATATAAAATGGAAAATTTTAAAGAAAAAAAAGGAAAAAAAAATCCCCCCCCCCAATTTTTTGAACCCCCTTATGATTCATCACCCCCAAACTCAATCCCAGCCTTCCCTTTGTGGTATGGTACCTTGCAGTACAATTTCAGAGAGATCCATACACTTGAACACAAGTTATTGTATGGAAACTAGAAAAATGCTTGTTTTTTGGCCCCTTTTTGGCCCCAAATTCCTAAACATTTTGGGCAATTACCCCCAAACTCAATTCCAGCTTTCCCTTTGTGGTATGGAACCTTGTAGTACAATTTCATAAAGATCCATACACCTAATTCCTAAAATTTTGAGGCAATTACCCCCAAAATCAATCCCAGCATTCCCTTTGTGATATGGAACCTTGTGGTACAATGTCAGAGAGATCCGTCACTAACACACAAGTAATGTCTGGAAGTTACAAAAATGCTTATTTTTGGCCCCTTTTTAGCCCCTAATTCCTGAACTGTTGGTACCATAACCCCCAAAATCAATCCCCACCTTCCTTTTGTGGTATTGAACCTTATGGTAAAATTTCATAGAGATCCATTCACTTAAACTAAAGTTAGAGTGCGAAAACCAATGTGTCTTCGGACAACGATGACGGACTACGACGCCGACGACGCCAACGTCATACCAATATACGACCTCAAAATTTTTTTGAGGTCGTATAAAAATTTAATTGAACTCAAAACCATGCATTTATTATTCTCTTTCTGAGTAGCATTCTCATAACTACTTCTAAAAATAAAATGCTCCGCAGGGCGCAGCTTGATACGACCGCAGAGGTCAAAACCCTGAACAGTTTGGGCAAGTATGGACACAACATTCAAGCTTGATACAGCTCTGAATTTGGATTGTGATTAAATATTTGACACAGCATAGGTTTCTGACACAGAATGAATGTGGTCTAAGAACTTAAAAATTTTAAATTGGACATTCACCTATTATGGTCCAATATCCAAAATCTAAATACATGGTTAGATTCAGCATATCAAAGAACCCCAAGAATTCAATTTTTGATGAAATCAAACAAAGTTTAATTTTGGATCCTTTTGACCTCAATGTGGACAAAGTTGATAACGGGGCCCAAAAATCTAAATACATGGTTAGATTCAGCATATCAAAGAACCCCATATATTCAATTTTTGTTGAAATCAAACAAAGTTTAATTTTGGACCCCGATTTGGACCAACTTGAAAACTGGGCCCATAATCAAAAATCTAAATACATGTTTAGATTCAGCATATCAAAGAACACTAAAAATTCAATTTTTGTTAAAATCAAACTAAGTTTAATTTTGGACCCTTTGGACCTTAATGTAGACCAATTTGAAAACGGAACCAAAAATTAAGAATCTAAATACACGGTTAGATTCGGCATATCAAAGAACCCCAATAATTCAATTTTTGATGAAATCAAACAAAGTTAAATTTTAGACCCTTTGGACCTCAATGTGGACCAATTTAAAAACAGGGCCCAAAATCCAAAAACTTAATACACGGTTATATTCAGCATATTAAAGAACCCCAAGAATTCAAGAATAAAACCCCATTGAAATTGATCAAGAAATAAGCAATTTATAAGAAGTATCTTCTTTTGCACAATACTGTGCAATTGAATATTTCTTGCTATTGCGCAATACTGTACAATTGAAAATTTCTTGCTATTGCGCAATATTGTGCTATTGGATATTTCTTGCTATTGCGCAATACTGTGCAATTGAAGATTTCTTGCTATTGCGCAATACTGTGCAATTGAAGATTTCTTGCTATTGTGCAATACTGTGCAATTGAAAATTTCTTGCTATTGCACAATACTTATTATATAAAAATTTACACATCCTGTTTGGTGTGTATCTCCTACCATATCATTATTATTTGCTTTTAAAAATAAATCAGAAATAACCAACTTAAAATGGAAAATTTTAAAAGAAAAAAAAAAGGAAAAAAAGAAAAAAAAAAATCCCCCCCCCCCCCCAAATTTTTTGAACCCCCTTATGATTCATCACCCCCAAACTCAATCCCAGCCTTCCCTTTGTGGTATGGTACCTTGCAATACAATTTCAGAGAGATCCATACACTTGAACACAAGTTATTGTCTTGAAACTAGAAAAATGCTTATTTTTGGCCCCTTTTTGGCCCCCAATTCCTAAACGTTTCAGGCAATTACCCCCGAACTCAATTCAAGCTTTCCCTTTGTGATATGAAACCTTGTAGTACAATTTCAGAAATATCCAAACACTTACACACAAGTTATTGTCATGAAACTAGAAAAATGCTTGTTTTTTGCCCCTCTTTTGGCCCCTAATTCCTAAAATTTTGAGGCAATTACCCCCAAAATCAATTACAGCCTTCCCTTTGTGATATGGAACCTTGTGGTACAATGTCAGAGAGATCCATACACTTACACACAAGTTATTGTCTGAAAGTTACAAAAATGCTTATTTTTGGCCCCTTTTTGGCCCCTAATTCCTTAACTGTTGGTACCATAACCCCCAAAATCAATCCCAACCTTCCTTTTGTGGTATTGAACCTTATGGTAAAATTTCATGGAGATCCATTCACTTAAACTAAAGTTAGAGTGCGAAAACCAATGTGTCTTCGGACGAAGCCGGACGATGCCAGACGACGACGACGACGACGACGCCAACATCATACCAATATACGACCAAAAAATTTTTAATTTTTGCGGTCGTATAAAAAGTTAGAAAAAATATTTATCAAACAAAATTCATCAAAAAGACCAATTCCCTTTCAACAGGATGTTACACAGATATATGTTTAAGTAACCAGTTATAAGTGGCTCCATTTAAACATACTGTAAATTCAGAAATTATTGCGAGGTTTTTATTAATGCGAATTATGCGAGTGGATGAAGATCGCAATAATAAGAACTCGCATTCTGATACCTGATACTTATATCTGTATGCAGATTTTCCTGAAATCGAATATTTAATCTCGCATTTTAGTCCATTCTTCAAAAATCGCAATAATAAATGCACGCAATAATTTCTGAATTTACAGTACACAATGTCTATTAGATTCACATTAAAGTCAGACAACATCCATCTTACAAATAACCATTTTCATCCTAAAAGAAATTTTGCCATTTTTTATTTCAATGAAAGATCTCAAGTCTCATGAATGACTATAAGCATATTATGTGTGTCTTGATATAATAAAAAGATGCTACACAACTATTAAAATACAACACAATTGATTTTCGCTTGCAAATTATTTCTAAATGAAATAAATGATTAAATGTTATCAATGAACTACCAGTTAACAACTTGTAACCTTACTTCATATATTGGAAACAAATAATATTACATTTTTTACAAATGTTTTAAAAATACTGACAACATGTTATGCCCCATATTAACATACATTACATAATTTGTCCAACAAAATACACATAAAGCAAGTTTACATTATAGTATTTTTTTGTTATCGCGCGGCATATACTTTTCTTTTTTCATATCTTTCTAAAATTTTGCAGTTTGCAAACATATGAATTTTTCAATACAAAATTCTATTATTAATTACAAATGTACATAATATATGAAATCAAAGTCAAAATATTCAGTTTGAAATAAACAAAAGGCTCTCAAGAGCCTGAATCGCTCACCTGTAATTTTTTGCTTAAATCTTTCATCAATGATTATTTTTGCTTTTTAATATATATTAATGAGTGGCTTAAAAATTCCATTGTGATGTTCTTTGTATCTGTCATATTTTCTTCAAAAGCAAAGACATACATTTTACCCCTATGTTCCATTTTAGCCATAGTGGCTATGTTTCTTGACGTACAAGAAAATAAAATACAAAATTTATACTAGATACTCTGAAACTCATTCAGCCCAAGTTTGGCTGAAATTGATTCAGCAGTTTCAAAGGAGAAGATTTTTTAAAGTAAGCAAACTAGATGAACAAATTGTGAAAAATTGTCTTTAAAGGGCAATAACTCCTTAAGGACACATTTGACAATTTTGGTCATATTAACTTATTTGTAGATCTTACTTTGCTGAACATTTTTGCTGTTCACAGTTCATCTTTATCATTAATAATATTCAAGATAATAACCAACAAGAGTGGACACACTGAAATGTCTCGCCTGTTTTAGTGTTCATAATTGAATTTATGTTGAAAGTAAAAAAAATAAGTTTATATAAGCTTTACATTAAATTAACATTTTAATGATGAATGAACATGAAGTCAAGGTGAGATAAACCC